ACGCCTATCGCCTATCGTTTGGACCTGTAGATGAAAGTGCATTTATATTAGTGTTGAATAAAAATCATTGCCCTATATGTCGTTTGGACTAGCAAGGGGTAGGTCATGTCGACCGGCGAATATTTTGTTGAGACTGTATTTACACATGTATTAGTTTAACATTAGGTCGGTTTGACCTGTGGCATGTGTAGTAGGGTTTGCATGGTTGTGTTGACCATGGCATGTACTGTATATAGATACTGTTTATTATATGAGCTATTTGGGCTGAGGGGATTAATATAATATGTGGTTATGTAGGTTAATCTGCCTTGTTCTTGTGGACCATAAATCTACTGAGGTTGTTTGGACCTGCAGATGAAAGTACATTTATATTAGTGTTGAGTAAATCATTGCCCTTTATGTCGTTTGGACTAATAGGGGTAGGTCATGTTGACCAGTGCATATTTTGTCGAGACAGTATTTACACATTAGTTTTAACATTAGGTCGGTTTGACCTGTGTGCGTGTGTAGTAGGGTCTGCATGGTTGTGTGGACCATGGCATGTACTGTGTATAGATACTGTTTATTATACGAGCTATTTGGGCTGAGGGGATTAATATAATATATGGTTATGTAGGTTAATCTGCCTTGTTCTTGTTATTGTTTGGTGCATGTAGTCTCATTTATTCTTAGTGTCATGTCCTAGTGAGATTCAAGTTGAAAACTGGCTTGATCTTGATCGGTTTGATGATCCAGAATTGAAGAAGCTGGCTGAATTGCTGCCTAGTATCATCATTCAGGACAGAGCTGAAGGCACTATAAAAACGTATATTAGTGCCTATAGGCTTTGGAAACGATGGGCGTGTACTCATGGCGTATGTCCAATTCCGGCGGACGGGACTGCCTTGGCATTGTATATTGTGTCCTTGATACAACAACGACGATCGGTGTCGTCGATTAATTCAGCAGTATATGGCATTGATTGGATCCATAAAAAGAATGGCTATGGACTTCCTAGCGTACATTCTGTTGTGAAACAAGTGACTGACGCAGCTAGGCGAATTCTAGCGAAACCCAAATCGAGAAAAAAGCCTTTATCTAGCACACAAGTTAAATCAATTGTGCAACGGTTGGAGAAAGGATCCCTTGCTGACCTCCAGGTAGCAGCGATGTTTGCATTGGGATTCTATGGCTTCCTTCGCTGGGATGATCTCAGTCGTATTACCCCTGAGCATCTCGAGTTTGCACCAACCCATCTACTTGTTCACCTGGAGAAGAGAAAAAATGACCAGTTCCGGAAAGGAACGCAAGTCCTGATTGCAAGAGCGGACAGAGCACCATGCCCGGTAGCTGTTGTTGAAAAATTTCTGGGGAAGGGACGTCATAAGCCAGGAATCTCCATTTGGAGACGTATCCAGAGTACCAAATATGGTCAGGTACTTCGGAGTACGCCTATGACATACAGCCGTGCTAGCGAGTTGTTCAAGAAAGAATTGGTGAAGGAAGGTCTTGATGCTAAAGATTATGGTCTTCACAGTTTACGATCTGGTGGTGCTACAACTGCAGCTGCTCTGGGTATTCCAGACCGCCTGCTACAGAGACAAGGAGGGTGGCGTGCTGCGAAGGCAAAGAACAATTACATTGTTGAGTCAAAAAACTCGTTACTTCATATTACGAAAACAATGCAGAAGGCATAAATTGTATAAATTAACTCTATGCGTTGTGTGGTTGCGGCTGACGCTGCAGCAGCTACCAGCGGTGTGTGAGAAGTGTTATTTTCCGCTGGCTGAGGCACGAAAGAAGCGGAAAATGTTTTCTCACACACTGCTGGGGGCCTGATGAAATCAGGGTGTTACAGGTTTATGAGCATATTTTTGTTGTTGCTCACCGTAGCTTGACAGTATCCCACCCACCTAGCCCTTTTATGTTTATTAGTACAGAACGGCGTTGGATTGTATATATATGTACTTGTTAGGGTAATTATTAAGCGAGCAATTGTAATGTATGGTAGTTTAAATGAATAAATGTCAAGCTTGCGGCTGACGCTGCAGCAGCTCCCAGCGGTGTGTGAGAAACGGTTGTTTTATGCTAATTTTTGGCATTTTCAAAAACAGTAGTTCAACGTTCAAACATCAGTAGCGCAGTCAATATTGCATATAAATTCAAGTACTATATATCAAAATCTAAGTTAGTCCTTTCCGAATGCAATGATCGTGATTTCGTTCCGATAGCTTTTATAGCTTTTACGTTACATCAAATCAAACAGTATCCAGGTTTTTTTGGGACACCCGGTATACTACAGACTAGCCTTCTTGCAGCCCGGAATTTGTTGGGAGCAATAGAACTGCCCATTAAATAATTTTTGTACTAACATATTTTGTCTTCTGTGACTGGTTAAAGCAAAATAAAAAAAGTGCACTTAAGTAAGGGAATATATAATTTGAAACGGATCGACCGTACGGAAACTTTGCAGAGAAGCCCCCCCCCCCCCCAACTTATTTCTTTTCTCAAATACCTCCTTCTCTAAATTATATTGGGAACCCTGTTGAATGTTGTAACCGTTTTAGAAATTTAAAACCATTCTATTGTATTCTAGACATACTTGCACTAAACTCATATACATTTGCACCTATATATTCGCACTAAAATCATATTGATATACTCATTTGCATATTCACATTAAAATCATATACTGATTCGCACAAATATATTCGCACTAAAATAATATACTCTGCATTTGCCCATCATATACATTTGCACTAAAACCATATATAAAACCACTCTAAAAATATAACTTCAAAGCTTGGAGGATGTTGTACTGTAAATAACGAAGCATTAGCTACTGTAATAAATCTTTCAACCTTGCAAAAACTTGAGAACATGAAAGGAAACATGTGCGTGCTCAACACAAAATCTTGTTCAACTTCCCCCTCATTTAAAACCATGCCCGAGACTTAATTATTCCCCCAAAAATGAATAAACTGACGAAAGATTAACAATATACAAAGATCGCAGCATCACACAAAAGATCGGGCCACATGGTCTCGGGAAAAACCAGGCCATGTCAAGAATAATGTGCATAAATATGCGAAATATGCTCCAGACAGCAAAGCAAGCCTAGAAAATATGTTTCTCTTCCAGGTCCCTGGGTGCACCGGATTTCAAATCCGGCCGGATTTAACGAATTTTCCGGCATCCGGCCGGATTTAGTGAAAATCCGGCCGGATTTAAATTTCTGTTTTCACCTTAAAAAACTCACCAAGAATGGGATAAACCATCAATTTGGCAGCTTTAAAGTTTAAAAAACACTTATATTATTATAAAATATTAAGTTATTATCAAAAATATATTTAAAAAAAGGTTTAAACACAATCAAAAATCTGAACTGACACTAACTAAAAATAATAAAAAACATAAACCGCCATTTTGAATACTGATTTATCTCCAATTGTCCCCATTACCGGTTTATCTCAAATCTGGTAAATCTGGTCGGATTTGAAAATTCCAAATCCGGTGCACCCCTACTTCCAGGCAGCAAAATCCAAAAATAAAAATTTCCTGTGTTAAGTCAAATATAAAACTTCCTGCATGTGTAATTCATAGAACATATGGTGGCACACATTGTGATAACTTAAATCTCAACACAAGAAAATCTCTAAGTGTAAAACGCTTTTGCAAACAATAAGTAAATTAAGTGACATTCCAGTATAGGACCGAAAATATCGGTATTAAATCAATATCTGTATATCGATACCGGATATTCAGCCATACCGACATACCGAAATTTCTGATATACCGGAGTTTTTCGGTATACCGTGTTACATTTACCAACTATATGGCAAAACCATAACCTCTATTTTACTACTGAATGGCAATTCAAAGAACTTTCTACTGATTTAGATTTCGAAACAGCTTCAAAATTATCGTTTCCCTTTTTAGAATTACTCACAATTACCTTCAAATTTCCATTAAAGAATTTTCCTTTATAATTATCAAAGGAAAACTGGTATACGGATAATATCGGTATAATTTTTTCGGTATACCGATACCGGAAATTCCTCATACCGAACATTCCTATTCCAGTATACAGAATGATAAAAATTTCCTGCAAGATATTTTGTTTAATTTTCGTGGCAGCGGTATTACTGGCGGTTCCCGACATTTTCAGCACTGTGGCAAAGATTGAATTGAGATACCTAACTCAAGACACAAGATGTATTTTTACTATTTATTCAGCATTATGCAGACTGCACAAAGAGATTTACTTCAGAGGAATAAACCTGGAAGAATGAGTAGCACCAATACCAGGTCGACCATGTTTCACTGGCTTGTACGTGATAGAAAACTCACCAAGGTAGTGTCCAATCATTTCAGGCTGAATAAAAAAATAACATTATATTTAGTTATAATTACAGAAAACATGTTATAATTAGGATGATACCTAAACTCAACCACTCATCCATTGACAAGTACAATTGTCTGGCATTAAACAGAATAAAATAATAAAGTGCAATTGCCACATCAAGGGTTAACAGAATGCATGGCAGATACTCTGATTAACCCCTAAGTAATAGCACTCTCCCCCTGATGAGTAAAATTGTCTGGTGTTAGACAGAGTAAGACACATTGCAGGGTTCGAAATAACGGTTCGTGAATCACGAATCAATTTTCATTTTTCACGAAAACCCAATTTCATAGAAATTTATCAAAATCACGAATCAAAAGTCTCTCAAATTGATAAAAATATACAATAATAAATTCAGTTCCTTGTAAATGTGATGAAGGATCATATGTTCTGAAGATATTGTTGTTAGATTGTACTTAAAAACGATTATAATTCCACACAAAATTCTATTTATTTGCGAGTTTGCGATGTATATTATATATATTTGAAAATTGCAGTGCTTCCACTTTTTAACTTCCAATTAGAGAAAATTCCTTAAAATATCCTTAAAATAAAAAAATTAATTCACAAACCATTTTTTCAGAATTAATTCGAACCCTGCATTGACAGGGTGCATTACCACTCAAACAGTTAAGGATTAAATTATGAATGTGTGACATGTTGTATATCTCATGCTGAGCACTACATCAAGCTGTATCATCACACCACTCCATCTTTGAAGTAAAATTGCATCCTGGGTGTAATCCAAAGGCTCACTAACACGGTACAATAAGCCATACAAGACTGCCATGTAAGAAAACGACTGCTGGTGCCACTATTCTAGCTTGTCAGTGTACATGGCAAAATTTGACATCTTTACATGCATTTATTGGTAGGGCGTAAAAAAAAATACCTGTGGTTCCGGTTTCATATCGTGAAAAAATTAGGGTCGGTAGGTCGGAAATTATTTTTTTTTGAATATTTTTTTCATGGTTTTGGCGTTTTTTTTTTGCTGGGCGATTTGCAGTAGAGTCCCGACATCAATATTAACTAGAGATGCGTATTTCCTATCGACGAATTTAGGCAATTTTGCTCAATAATTAGTGTGACAACAGACGCCATTTTGGCACGCCGTATGAGCAGCCCGCAACCACCTGGAGAAAATAGGGTCGCACAGTCAATCGCGTTGAAAAAATAATAGGGTAGGCAGAAAATAAATAGGGTCGGTCGGGAACCGGAACCACAGGTATTTTTTTTTTACGCCTAGAGTATATATACCAGAATAAGAATTGCATACACCTAGCCGTATCGGGTAGATGTACCCAAACAGATATGCGAATACTGAAATACAACTACAATGTAAGAAAGGTTCGGATTGATAAGGGCGCCAAACGTCAAAGTTCTCCTTGTATTTTTTAGGTAGACCGGTCAATCTGAAGCTTTCTTATAATTGGTATCACCTACACTGGCTGACAAATTATTCAAGATCAAGTATTTTGCAGTCAAGAGACTAGGCACAAACCTTAATTTCAATCTGGTTGAAAGTTTTGCCATTGTACACACCAATAACACTGCCAATCATCTCAGGTACGACAATCATATTTCTCAGATGGGTCTTGACCACTTCGGGTTTCTCCATCGGTGGTGCCTCTTTCTTCGCCTTTCGCAATTTCTTTATCAGAGCCAAAGGTTTCCTCTTCAGCCCTCGCGAGAAACGTCTCCTTGCACGAGCATGTACCAACTCCATTAGATTGTCGCTTTGAAGATCAAGTAACTGATCCAAGTCGACACCACGGTAAGTAAACTTACGAAAAGTACGTTTCTTTTTTACTTGAACGTCAGCCTGAATGAATGTGGAAATTTCCGGTCAAAAACATGGATTTATAAGAAAATATATACGCAAAGAAACTCTTCTATGTCTACTGATAATGTTTCAGTTGAAAAAGTGAACTAAAACTTAAAGATTGCATGCAAAATTGAAGGATTATTTCAACATGTCTTACCATTTTGTTTGTTATATTTTGTGAGAGAAACGAAAAGATCAAAGAACTCGTTACCAGCCTATTCCACTGCGCGGTCATGCTTCCACATCGTCCAATTTTATTCAAATTTCTTTAATTTCAAATTTTACACTCCACTGAGCTATATATTAAGAATATACTGTATACTGAATAAGACTTTGTGAAACTCAATAATGCATGAAGAAAACACAAAAGAAATCATGAGCGTGAAAGACTTTGTATATATTTGCCAATAAGCTTATTTATTAATAAATTAATTAAGTAAATAATTGATAAATTAATTATTTCCTGGTTAGGTCTATTAAATGTATTTCAAACACTCATAAAAACATCATCAAACACTCATTAAACATTTATTAAAGGTGCCCTGCAGTCCGTATGTAAACAAAGCCTTTGTTTACATTTTTGTGTCCAAAATATTGAGCTTTATTCGACAACTATTTATATTTTCAAGCTTCTAGAGTATAATAAATGATCAAGAAACAATACTCGGGCTTTTCAAGAACCCAAAACATAGTTAAACTGTTTGTATCATAAAAAGTGGGGCTCCTTTTTGCACATGCGCAGATCGGACTGTAGAGCACCTTTAATGAGTGTTTGAAATACATTTATAGACCTAACCAGGAAATAATTCATTTCCATAACCCCTTAATACCCCAAGCAGTTATTGTTATTGATTTAACTATTTTTTTTCATTATCCAATTGTTGTACTCTTAGTAACTTTTCTTTCCACTTTTTAATCCACAACTGTATATAAAACTTTTCTTGCTGGCGTGCTTCTTTAACAGAGGGAAGATCCTCCTTATGTGAGAAAAGAAGATCGTAATGGTGGGCACCATGCTCAATGTTAATAGCAACCATTGAATCAGAAATGTTGACGAGTACGCCACCACCAGCCCACGGATCAATATCTCCATTAATGAATGCGATATTGGAGTGCTCTGCGATATCTCGATCACCGTATTGAAGTTTCACTCGACTTAGATCAGGCTTCGCCCCCCAGGTTTTCTCACAAATTTTCGACATGGCATTAACATCCCAACTTGACTTGTAGTACATATCATGGACTCCGTCCGAACACAAAGGATACAACATTTCAGTGCAGGATTGATAATTCCAAGATCCCAGAAACTCCTTGCCATTCTTTGGTAAATGGAGACATTTTAAAGCTTTTGAATGGTTGAAATACACTGACATTCCGTTCGCTAAGTCCGTAATCAGTTCCCGGGCGTCTCTCTTAACATCCTTGATGGTACTACACACGGCTTTTATGGGCCAAGCAGGTTTTGAGCTCGTAGGATGAGGATAATTCTCCATAGCAAGGAACAGGTATGATAATGCGAGTTTATCGCGAAGTTGGTATATATCTTCGAACTTCTTTAAAGGTTCACATAGTGAAAATGTCTTCGAGATAAACTCGAGTCCTTCCTTCTTCAAACTGAACTGCTCAAGAATTTGCCACGATCTGCGAATGACCTCAACGCATGCGCGACCGCCATCTTTTACAAAGGCTTTAGTGACTAGGGAATATTGCGTTCCACAATCTGTAGAAAACTGAAATAGCGGGGCGGAAGATGCGATCGCACCAGCAATAATACTTGGATATTTCATTCTCAACCAAGCAGAATACTGACCGCCTAACGATCCACCAAATGCTACAACTGGACTATCCTTTGCCCCAGCAATGTTCGACTTTATAAAATGAATAAGTTTAGAATAATCAGCGAGCACTTGCGACGAGGTTAAGTAGCCGGTATACATAGGATCGGAGAGAGATTTCACACCGAATGGTAAGCTTCTTCCCTGATACCGTTGCTCTGCAAATACTAACATAGCATTAAAATCCGGTGCTATTTCCCACAGTAATCCCATTGTTCTGGCAAATAATTCAATATCAGCTTCATTTCCGCAGTAGAAGAAGATCGCACTGCCTGGTTTCCAATTTGATTTATCGATCAGATATCGTTGCTTGAACGTAGTGTTGTTTATAAAAGTAAAATGATCTATGTTTTGGTCGAACCATTTCGTTTCGTAAACGCACGAAGGACAATTCGGAAATCCGCGCTTGTGATCGTCACCCAAAGTCAAATCGGATCTAAAATATGTTGGAAATACGGGCCAATGGAATCCATAGGCACTGCGTATTACGCACCAAATCAAGAACAATAAAATGTTGAAAAGATTTCGTTTCATTCCGTTGTATTTATAAGACACTAAATTTGCATGTAATGCATATATTCGTATATATATACATTCACATAATTTGAACGACTTGCGTGCAACAGGTACCAGCTTAAACCGTTTTCAATTACCAGTTGTTTTATATTTTTCAAACGGACAATAATGTGAAAAAATAATGCAGCAGTTAACTTGTAAAGCGCAGGAAATATTTAGTGACAGAACGGTCTTTGACGTTTTCCATGCACAGTGATCCCAAAAACGTGTTTAATATAAAAACTAACTTTTAAAATAAAAATTGTACAAATAGAGGCTGTTAGTTTAAAGCATAAACATGTTACCCTGTTCTGGATATTAAATATACCAATTATACTGGTGAAGACAAAAGTCAACATAGCTTACTCTGTACCATATGTCTTTACAAATGGTACCAAATAGAACAAATCCGGTACAGTGTAAACGTAGCCTTAGAAAGACGAAATCAAAAGATAAACAGTTTCCATTTGGTCAAAAGAAATCCCCCCAAAACGAGAAACATTTACTAAATGAGCCCGCAGTGTCATACACGAGCGTGCAGCATACTCATTTTCCGTCGTGTCTAAATATTAGATAGATTTAGATCGAGGACGCGGACGTCAAAGACGACGTGAAAATGGCGTGAAAATGGCGTGGCATATACATATATGGGCATAACACGCCATTTCACGTCGTCTTTGACGTCCGCGTCCTCGATCTAAATCTGTCTATTATTTCCATAACTCATCTCAAGTTAATGTGGACAGGAGACGTTTGCATCCTTCTTCCAACATGCCATGATAATTATTGATCTGTTAAGAAAAAAATATTTATCATTAATAGTATATTTATATTTAACAGGCCTGCCTGTAAAGAATTATTTTGCTGGGAATTGCTAATGTTCGGCTGAGACAAAAAGTGGTTGCACATTTGTCGGACAATGGGCAAAGTAATGTTTTTCATTTTTTATATTTATACCGATGTGATCAACTGTTGATATGCATCTTCCATAGAATCCATTGTATTAACGTGATCATCTTCCATTTCATTCAACTGAAATTGAATTAAGGCAACATTTTAGCACATTAATTGACATTAAGCCCTGGTCAATCTAAAATGAGAGTTGACAAGATATATTACATTCAATATGAAGTCCTACCGCTTTTACAACTTCTTGAAATTCTATGTTAATCTGGGAAATCTCTTCCTGACAGTTTTTCAAGTTCTTTTCCAACGATTCAGCATTTCTATAAGAGCAAAATAACGGGTATACACCCGTGTATTATAATACAATATCGAAACACTGCGGTAGAACGCAAGTAAGATTTTTGGTATGTGTAATATAATTTGGGTCATTCTAAGAAATGTATAATATAGCTATCCTTATAGTATAAGACCTCATTTTTGTCAACTTTTTCACTATTGGTGTTTCCGGAAATGTTATTATTATTTGAATTGTAGATAGTTATCCTTAGTTGTATTTGCTCCAAAAAATTCATCTAATAGTTTCATACTTTCTCCTAAGTTCAAATTCATCATTTTTCGCCGAGAATTTCTTCTCATTTGTTCGCTCTAATCTGTTTAGCTTCTCATTCTGCGAGGTAAGTTGACGTTTAACGTTCTAAAAATGGAAGTAAATGATTAAGTTGAAGAGCAACGAAAAACAGACAGAATCACTGCAACCTTTAATAGTGAGCTCAAGCAAGCGATATTTTTGACAAAACGTCAAACGAGCCGATATGGTGATGGCGACATCCGTTCTTGTTTGAAATTACGAACGTGAAACTACATTGACTACTGTTCTTGATTTCTAGCAACAACTGCTGACGACAAGAGGAAATTTACATGACGGCATTTGTAACTCTGGCATGGGAACAGGTCCCTAGACAAATATTTGTGGACAAATATTTGAATGGATATAAATTTCCTACAAAAGCCAGAATTTCCATAAATATTAATTGAACTGTTTTTTTTATGCAGAATTGTCACCTTATATTGAAAATTCTTTTGCACGAGTGCTGCATCGTCGGCAGTAACGACATCATGCAATTCCTGCAGCTTGTACTGTAGATTTCTACAAAAATATTTAAAGCGCAAACATGATGCATATACAGTATAAGAAAAACGATAATAATGATAATAACAATAACAAATCGATAATAATAAGCTCAACCAATTGCAGCCCTCACCGAAGTTTTTCTGCTTCATCTTCCAGTGATGAAATCAATCTGACAGCTTGAGCACAGTTCTAAGGTAGCAAGAAAAAGGTTTTTATACTGTTTTAATATTGACAATATTGTAAATGATTAATTCTATTTCTGCGATGCAGGATCCCACTGAAAAACATGTACTACTGTATGACGTGGGCACCTGGATAAATATTATTATTATTTATTTAAAAAATTCCTGGTTTCTGATTGGCTAACAGCCAACTGTGAAATTGTCATATCAACTCAATGGCTAACCAAATCTGGATTTTTCACATTCATAATAGCAAAATGACATCAATATGAAAAAAATTTGGACGCGTTTGCGCCATATTACTATGACGACGAGAATCATATTGACTCGCTGACGCCATCGATATGACGACGACGGCTGCAGAAGGACTAAAGAATTGTTTTTTTCTTAATACAAGTAAAATACCAATGGCTTCTTCCACTGAAAGGTTCGCCAACCTTGCCGAAGCCGAAATTCAAAAATTACTGGAAGATAAAGATTCGTTAAATACAAAAAGATAAACAAAAGCTTCTAGAATAGGTAAGAACACTTTTCCTAATTCTTGTTTGGCTGATTATTAACGCGGGCGAACAAATGGATGACCGTTTGTTTTGAATTTTTTAAATAAATAATAAAACAATTATTGAATTCGGTTTTCACACAATATGAAGAATTATCAAGCCCTTAGCTTGCCGTTATCAACCTCAGCCTTCGGCTTCGGTTGATAACGGCAAACTTCGGGCTTGATAATTCTTCATATCGTGTTCAACCTCATTCAATAATTGTTAATTATTATTTAAATTGTGCACGATTCGATTATGACTTATGAGCCAAGATGCATATGGAGGAAAGAAAAGTTTGATAAAGATACAAAGGCAGTCACACGATGAAAAAAATAACCAATCAACAAGATGGAAAAATATAGAAAAGACGAAACCATGGTTGAAAGCCGGCACACTTTTACATATAGTAGCATTTTTACATATAGTTTTGACATCGGTCATATCGTCTATGTTCACGCACACACCCTTCCATCCCGTCCTGTTCCGAAAAAGATGGAACATGTAAACCTTCCCAAACTGACTTCTGGTATTCTTTCATTTTGGATGATTTTAAATATTTAACGGCCAGGCAGACTGGTAATAAAACAAACAAACAAACAAACAAACAAACAAACAAACAAACAAACAAACAAACAAACAAACAAACAAACAAACAAACAAACAAACAAAAACCAACAAAAAACCTTAATAAGCTGTTTAACAGGCTCAAACGCTACTAATTGTTAAAACATCAATACGTCGAGACTAGATACCTCCTCAAGTAAATCAATGGATTCTTCTTGGTTCTTCTTTTCCAATAATTTTTTACCTTTCTCTGCAATTGAATCTTTGCAAGCATTTATTGCGTCGTCCATTCGGCTTACTTCCTGAAATAACAAGATGTGAAAAATTCCAAGTTCTCTTATCCAATGCAAATAAAATGTTTATTCGAAACGAACATGACAGCCCAATGACTGGAGACAAGATATTTGACTAAATTTTTTAAATAAAATTTACTCCTAAATAATGAAATATATTACTAATTACTATATGCAATGAGTAATGTCGGTCGTAAAAGGCAAGCAGAACTACAGTATTGTCATCCAGACATTTATTATATTTCCGCGACATTTAACAAGGCAGACAGTTTTATTATTTAGTCAAATATTTGAGTCAAAATGGGCTGCCTGTAATACCTATACCATAATAGTTTGCATGTACCGTTTAATTGGGTTCAAAAATAATTCAAATATATGGTTAAAAAAACTGTCGCCCTTTCAAAGATTATTCTTACCTTACGGAATTTCTCTGGAGATGTGACAATTTGGGCTTTAAATTTTTCACATTCTTCAATGTTGTTGGCAATGAGCACTTTTAATTCAGCCTGATAAAAGTACAAAGAAAAAAAAGTTAAGTAGAGGTTTTCGAGAATAACATGTCTTATTATATATCTGGACCGGGTTAGGGACCATTAGAAAAGGAAAGGGGATGAGGTAAGGTAAAGGTTAAGACACATATATGGGCCAGAAAGGCGTTTGCTCTGGCAATTGTGCCAGCCACTGAAGTCCCGAATCATGACAAAGCCCAAAAAAACAAAATAAAATTTCAGTGAATTACCTCCTTCGACGTTAGTTCGGCTATCTCGGTTTTTCGTTGTTGGGTTTCTTTGAAGTCGGATGACTAAAAGTAACATAAAATACAACCAAATAAACAAAATTGGATGAGTATATGATTTTGGAGGTCATCAAATTTATTTACTTTATTTATCATGTTTTAAATAGTACTTAGAATTCCACCAACCTGTTGCTTGTTTAACTCGTACACAGTTCTCTCCAGATCGTCAACAACTGGCAGCAACTGGCAAAGGAAGGATGGTTTACACCGTAATGATATTCCAAATTTTTACATATAGGCAAAGTCGCAAAAAACTGAATAAAAATCCAAGACGTGTACCTACCTGTTGTACTTTCTCCTCATCTTCGCTTCTTGCTGCCCTAAAATAAACATCGATGAGTGACGGATCGTCAGTGGGGAGATTTCTGTCCCACGACAATTTGATTGTATTTATACCTCAAGTTTAAATTATTTCTTTTATTTAAATTAAATCCTTACGGTACCTGATTTGCGCAATTTTCAGCTTCAGTTCCTGGTTTTTGCTCAATAGTTGAGTTTTCTGTTCGAATAATGAATCCTGGCAAATGAAAAATGCAAATTGCCTGTTGAGTGAGCAACAGTTTTTCACTTGTGGCATGCCCGGCGGGATGATACATTACATTTATCTAAGTCCACGTGACCACAAATCTGCCAATCACGTTTAGTTTAAGCACTAGTTCTATAACAATGGTTATTGTACGCATTTATTTACCCTCTCTTCCATTGCTGTGTCAAAATACGGATCCTGACTGCGTTTGAATTTTTCGTAGTTTATTATAGCACTAGAGAGAATCATTCAGGTCATGTTAACACATCAATTTTTATGGTTTAACAATGAAGAACATCATTATTTTTTATTTTGCAAAGTGTTTTTGCATAAAATCAATGATAAAAATAACTGCCCTATTCATATCATACACCTTAACATACCTTATACAATCCAAAGTGCGTTTTGGCTCTAGACAACGTCAGTCAATAAAAATTCGTTTAGTGCAAATTAAATAACTACAAGCAGTAAATGGTCATGCTGCAAGAAAATTGCTCCAAACTCTGCACAAAGTTCAGATGAAAAGATTAGGGTCGCTGATTTACTGATTTCAGTGGCCAAAAGCTAGGTATATAGGGTCGGGAAACCGTTATGTACTGTAGGAAAGATATATGGTCATTGGTTCCAATAGGCAATCCCTCCACTGACCAACTTACTTGGATTTGAAAGATCATTCTTGGAGAAATCTTTAACCAAACAAACATGCATGTATCTTTGCCTAAACAAGGCGGAAAACGATGACTGAGCGATAGGCAATGTCGCGTTCACAACAGCAACCTAGTTTATCCGATTACAGAGTTGTGAAAAAACTCTAAGCTAAGGATCGGCAGCTCAACCTGATCAAGTGGAAGGCGTACAAAGGGCGCCTCTGGCTAACACACACTTATGTTATGACTCATGTCTGATCGTACGTGAAGCACAGCTACTGTACATGGTGGAAGGATCAGTTAGGGGCTAATCCCAACCCAACATTCCCTGTGGGGAGCACATGTCATGGTCATGGAGAGAACATCCACGACTTTCAGTGGAGTGTCGACTCTTAAGTGTCGTGAGTCCGTCAAACCCATGATCTCAAGGTGAATAGCACTTTATCTTGATGAGGCAAAAAAAAAATATGTGGGTTTCCGGTTTCTTCTTATAAAAACTTAGGTAGGGTAGGACGGTTTTAACTTTTTTTTTAAACTTTTTTTTAAATTTTCCGAATAAGCGGACGCCATTTTGTTTAGTCAGTGCTTCCACATCCAAAGATAAATTTCCCTAATATTGCCACAGATATTGCCTCAAATTTCAATTTTCCACAAGCATGATCCAATAAAAAAGTTTAGGGTCGGCATTTCGACGTCGAAAAGCTAGGTAGGGTCGGGAAACCGGAAACCCACATATTTTTTTTTGACCTGATTGCATCACTGAAGCCCCTTAGTAGCCTTAGGGGCGGACCATTAGAAAGTGACGGGGGGGGGGGACTTTTTCAACTTGTACGAATATTTTTTGCTTGTGTCGATAATTTTTTTAAATATAATCCCTTGCACAAATTTTTTCTATTTCAACTTATAATTTTCCCTATTGAAAAGTCTCTGAACGAATTTTTTTTTCAAACTTTTTTGGTGTACGAATTCTTTTTCTTTCTGTTTCCCCTGCTCGATTTTATTTTTGCTTCCCCCCCCCCCCATCACTTTTCTAATGGTCTGCCCCTTACAGAAACTTAATAAATTTTACTTACAAAAAAATTGTAAAAAATATAAAGGATGCTCCTTCTTCAACAATGTCAAGATGCTGAAATGCACTGAGAAATTTGAAGTGTGGCTAAAACAAATTTTGAAAATTGCTGAATTACATGATTATTTAAAAATTCAATTTTCTTTTCTGAAACAGAACATTTCCTAAGATATTTCCTTGATATTTTCACAATGATTTTTATCGCTGCCCAGGTTCAATATTATATAACTCTGAAAAGTTGTTCTGACTGACAAGATACCAGACCAAAGTTATGGTCAGATATATAAGACATTGATCATTGTACACTTAGTCTAATAATTATTTGTAAAGTTATTTGTGTGCTTTATCGTGCCAACAGCAAACACACACACAACTGTTCACTTACCTGGACCATTTGCTCACTAGATATATGCATTGATACTGTAACGATATCCAAGTAAAGTTTCTTTACAAAATGTGGCTGCATAAAAAGTAGAATAGAGCTTCATTTGCAAACTATTAGTCATATATATTGCATGTGACAATTAATCTAATGAGTGGCATATTAGACAGAGTAACATATTTAGTAGGGTGCAACGCAACAGGTTAAAACTAAACACATGGGCATATAGTCTGATTAACCCATTGGGATTGGGCGTCAGCACCTGCCAAGTAAAATCATCTGGTATTGGACAGAGTAAAATAACAATGTTGGGTACATTGGGGTACAATGTAACTCACTGAATTTAACTAGACATATCTTGATTAACCCATTGAGTGTCAGCGCTCTCCCATCATTGACGAGTAAAATCATCTGGTGTTGTCAGTTGAGCAGAGTAAAATAATAAAGTAGGTGTAATGCAACTCAATGGGTTAATTGATTAGACACATGAGCAAATTAATTAGTATATAATCTTGAACTGTCTACAGTGCCAGTGTAGCTGGTACCAATAATAAAACTTTTGTTGATAGGAATACAACCCAGGGTGCATTCCATGTAAACTCTACGCCTGAGATACGCCAATACATCTGAGATTTTCAATTTTGGGGACTTAAATCCATGTATTGAAAATAGCTAATATGGTGATTCGTGTAGTTATACTGTCAATTTACATGTGGCCATGAAATCAGGTACAAACTAATCACTTCTTTTCGAGTGATCTCACGCCATTACGTCAACAATTTTGTAACCTCGCGCCGGATATATCCGGCATGGAATGCACACTGGAATACAACTACCTAAAAAATACAAGGAAAAATTTGACGTTCCAAGCAAACGGCATCTGTCAGGTAGTTAGTAGCAGGGGCAGGACTAACAAACGGGGTGGACCCCTGCTAATAACTTCCCGACAAAGGGCATTCGCTCTAAACGTCGAATTTCTCCTTGTATTTTCAGGTAGTTGCACCTCTACCAACAAACGTTTTAGATTTAATAGTATACAATATATTGAACATTGTTGATATTAATAACAATGCAAAATTATGTACAACGAAGTGAAATTTTTAAGTATAAAATCATAATATATCATGGACATGAACCTTTGTAGACAGAAAGCGAAATGTTGTACGATAGTATACGAACTCTCGAATGGTCGGAGTCAGACAAGCTGTCAAGTATACAAACTGTTTGGGGGCTATAAATATACACATCATATAAAAACGCCGTTTAATTAATGAGCTCTATAAAAATTATCATGCTTTTCATCAAGCATAACTTACAGTGGGTTTTCTCAAGTCTTCTTCAGCAATATTAACATTGAAAAGTTCTCGACAATTTGTTGTTGCCTCCTCGTAAGAAAGTATTGGGAATTCCATTTTATTATGGAGAGCACAAATCACAAGCGGAGTCTTGAATTTTGGCGCCTTGTTTTTCACTTCGTTCTTGCAGTGCTTCCACTTTCAAAAACAAAATTTCTCATTTTTGTATCAAAATTTCTCTTCTAAATTCTTTATATTAATATACGTTACTGTATTTCCTTGAAATTTCATTAGGCAGTTTGCAGTGATTTTGTAGCAATACAAAGGATTTAATTAATTTATATGTACAAGGCACAAAATGTTAATACTATGGTACTTTTTATGTACATTGATGCAATAATATGACTATCTAATTCCATACAAGATACTGATTTCCTATTCCCAGGTGTAAAATGCCTGCGGTATTAGTGGGTAAATTCGGTAAAATAAATACATTGAATACATTTTGGCAAGCAAAGGTGGGAAGCCACCTGCTACGCAGGTGAAGGGTAATGTCCAGAATGGAGCTTTGCACCTTAGGCTCAGCAATAAGACCCAAAACCCAACCCAAACATTCAGCCAGTGATTTCCAGCCTGTCCAGAATGAACACTATAAAAGCTTCAAGATACTTAATGAGATACTGTAATAGTGTAAAACGTTAGGCGATTTCTTATTGTCTTCATATCTTTGACGCGATTCTGTTCCAATTTCACCAAAGCCAAGAAATCCAAATATTTTCATGTGTGGAAATGCTTTTCTGACCTGAGAAGTTTCCTCGTCAATACGGGAGAATGCTAGCGAAACACACGGCGTAAGAAAACAGGCTGTGGAATGCAGGACACGAGACTGATTTAATATTGGCATTCTTTGAAGCAATTGCTTAATTTCTGAACCTCCATCTTCAACAACATTGCTTGCTTCAATATTTCCACCAATTGCCAAACCTGTGATGCTGCTCGATACTACTTTATTGTTAACAACTGCAAAAGGTTTGGCTAAACCACCACCAACAACAACTTGTTTTCCAAGAATCTACAAAAAAATACACAGAATGTTTTAATGCTTTGACAAATGATGCTGTTTTCCACAAAATTTTAAAGAAGAACGAATACAGCAACAAAAATAACACATGATTGATATATGCTTCCTGTCAGCAAAATCCAAGAATGGGTCATTCCAGAAAACATCCATACCACCCCCATGGAGGAAACTTAAGTTAACCCCCTACCCCCTTCGATTGTCCTAATACATAAACTATTATCAAAAAAAAAATTGTCTCCCCTCTCCCTCCAGAAATTTCCTCCATGAGGGGAGTGAGGATCTTTTTTGGAACGACCCAATTAATGTTTTCTGTAGAAAGGCTATATTTGCCTGGCAATGGCGAGATCCCGGCTATCATTTTCCCGGGTGACTGTTTACATGATGCATTTTACATAAAATGTATTCCTACAGTGCTGAAAATGTCAATCTACAGGTAGCGCCCCTATCAGAAAATTATTGACACTTTTGTTTTTGTCTTCTTGAATTCAAATGCTATGAAGTTTACTGGAAATTATTGAAAAAGAAAACCGGCCTTCATATAAATAGGCCAAAACCTGCCAGGTACTGAGTGCAAGTGCATGATACAGTCAACTTCCACCTTGTGGACAGCCCGATATTACGGACCGTTTGAAACATTGTATAGTTTCGGGGTGCACCGGATTTGAAATCCGGCCGGAATTCCGGCCGGATTTAACGAATTTTCCGGCATCCGGCCGGATTTGGAGAAAATCCGGCCGGATTTAAATTTCTGTTTTCACCTTAAAAAATTCACCAAGGATGGGATAAACCATCAATTTGGCAGCTTTAAAGTTAAAAAAAAACTTATACTATTTTAAAATATTAAGTTATTAACAAAAATATATTTAAAAAAGGTTTAAACACAGTCAAAAATCTAAACTGACACTAACTAAAAATAGTAAAAAACATAAACCGCCATTTTGAATACTGATTTATCCCCAATTGTTCCCATTACCGGTTTATCTCAAATCCGGCCGGAATTCTGGCCGGAATTTTTGTCCAAATCCGGTAAATCCGGTTCCGGCTGGATTTGAAAATTCCAAATCCGGTGCACCCCTAGTATAGTTTCAGGTAGTTGCATCTCTACCAACGAAAGCTTGTCCTGTTCATGAAATGATTCATAGTCTATCAAGATAGGATGGTCAAGCTGGAAACTAAATAGAAGTCATTGTGTTATGTTTTTGTTGGACATTATGTTAATTTGTCTGTTATAACAAGAATTGACAGTAACAAGATACCATGATACCTTAACTGTGTTTGACCAAATGCAATTTATATTTTTTGGAGGTGTTTTTGCCCCAATCAAAAACAAAAATTTAATGTCTTTGTTCACAAGATGATCAAGTTTGGCTCGCCATTCTTCTTCATTGTCTTTTATTTCCTTTATTTTCACTTGAAAATGATTCACATTAACATTTTTGACCTTTGGAATAAAAAGAACAGAGAGCTGTTCACTTAAACTTTTTCGCACAACAGGACACCCGAAATTTGTCTCTCCAATAATGCCACCCACTTCTCTCGCACCAATAACAATACAATCCTTGGGAAGGTTATTGGTGATCTTTGAGAGAAGCTTTTTTCTGAACTCGGCCAATGTCATTGGATCAAATATTTCATAACACAACATAACCATAGCGGATGGAACTATATCAATGTCATTCAAAAATTCAAGAATTTGCTTTCGGATGTCATCAATCACAATCTAAGAAAAGTAAAATAGAGGATTAATTTTAAGCATGTCACCACGCCCCCCCCCCCCAAAAAATGTTGAATTTAGGGGTCAGATGACATCCTTTCTGTGACCATGTAGTTGAGTACGAAACGACCCGAATCACCCGATACCTTCTGCATAATTAAGACAACATACCTGGAAGGTCAGTTCGTCTTTGCGACATTTGAACACCCGACTGACAAAATACTTTCTTTGGGTCAATTCTCTTTGAGCGAGGTCCTTCCACAAACGAGACGAGCAAAGCATTGACCAAACTACGTGCCGGTAAAAACCTCAAAATATTTGCTAAAGTTTCAGGAGGCAATGCTGTAATATTTCTCACTGTATTGGAATCCATGGTGCTTTATTTTAAAGCTATAAATGCATTGTACATGAAGGACATTTCTATCAAAAATTATATTAATTATTTGCATTGAAATATCTCAAAATTTTGAATGTTGTTGTTTATTAGTGCTTCCACTGCCCAAAAGCAAAACTTCTTTTCTTTAAGGTGGCTCAATACAGTTTAAAAAATGGAAAATTCACGATTAGATCCGTATTTTTGTACAGAATGAAAATACTAGGCGCTGATTGGCTGAATGGGCACAAACCCAACCCATTTCAGTATGCCATAATTCCAGAGAACCTGTTCACAAACTATGATAGATAATCTAATCTTCTTAAAAACACAATGTAACGCTGAAGGAAAACGTGTATTATAATATATACAAATATCATTTCAGTTAATAAATATACAAAAAAAATCGTTCTATAAAATATCATTCTTCAGCATATGTTATCTCTTAGGACACTGTAGAAACTCCTGAGCTTCCTTCCAATGTTTGACTGGAAAACGGCGAGGTAGTAATATTCTCCTTGACATTTCATCTGCAAAGCAAACGAATAGATCCATTTCCACATTAACATTCTCATTTTCAATTCCCGAGGCCCGTTTAAATATTTAAAGCCTATATTTATGCAAGATTTATGGTTGCAGAAAAGCCAAGGATATATGAATCTTACCGAGGATTGGTTGTGAACTATTGGCATTGCCCAGTTTTTCCTGTTGAAAATCCAAACTTTGATCCTAGAAAATGATTTTAAGAGTACATATAATATTTAGTATAAATATGTGAAAGAGATATGGCAACATAAAATCAGTTTATCCTATTTGAAGAACCTTTTACAGCTTTTTAAAATATTGCTTAGTTCTTGAAATAGTTTGAACAAAATGTCAAAACCATCACAAATTAGTCAGTTGTCCGCCATCTTGGATTATTGATTATTGTGAATATGCAAGAGATATATAGTCCCACTAGTCTATGAGCCCAACATTATACTTCGGTCACTATTTCAAATAACGGACAACATTATAAACATTTACCAATTGTTATGTGGTCATCTTGAAGCCGTTTTATACGGATAACCTTGCTCGCCGTCACTAAAACTGACTAATCCAAGATGGCGGATAGTGTTTTCAATCAAAATGTTCCAAGAATAAGAAAGATACGAAAAATCAGTCAAAGAATTTATATATAATTTTAAGCATTCTTTCAAATGAGACAAACCAGCAAAGTTTCAGTTGTCATATCCCTTTTCGAGTATACATATAATGTTTGGTATAAATATCAGTTTTCAGTTTAAGATGGTTTTCAGTAAGATATTTTTGAAAGAGAAACTTAATTCATTAGTGATTAGGGAAATATAAACATACCTCCAAATAATTATTCAACAACGCACAGCTTACTTCTTGTTCCAAAATATCCTTATTTTGTTCGTTTTGATAACATGAACAAATAAGCGTAGGGAATAATATATTTCGCAATCTGTATAAAGAGAAAGTGATCAGCAAATGAATTTAATCAGCCAATTCGCAGTGTCGACTGCGTATCCAAATGGTCTGCCTGGCCGACTGTCTTTCTGGTCGACTGTCTGCCATACTGACTAGTCAGTCTGCCTGGCCGAATGTCTGACGTCTGGCCGACTGTCTGCCTGGTACTGTCTGTCTGTATACTGTAACTGCTGTCTGGTGGACTGTCTGTCTGTCTGGTTATAATTGCCTGCCAAGGCCGAATATCTGTCTGACAGACGTCTGGCCGACCGCCTGACGTCTGGCCGACTGTCTGACGTCTGGCAGACTGTCTGACGTCTGGCCGACAGCCTGACGTCTGGAATGTTGAGTTCGATATCATCTTGGACAAAATTCTTGACAATAACCTCGCCTTCGGCGAATGAATTTTAAATAAACAAAATGGACCATTTGCATTATAGACTAAATTTTGATCTAGACAAAAATTTCATCACAGTTTGAAAGAGCATCACAAAATTAGTTATAAGTTTCGTTGCGAAATGTTGTAAAATGCGGATAATATAAATTTGCAATTTTCAGTCATTTTGCATTACAAACGGGAAATTGATGCCCCAACACCCGATTGGGCTGTCAGTTTCCCGTGCGTAATACAAAATGACTGAAAAACGGCAAACTTCGCATGGCTATATTATCCGCATTTTACAACATTTCGCAACGAAACTTTGGAATATTACTAATTTTGTGATGCTCTTTCAAGCTGTGATGAAATTTTTGTCTAGATCAAAATTTAGTCTATAATGCAAATGATCCATTAATGCACCGTGTTGTTGCCTACCTTGGATTGCTAAAATATTGAAAAGGAAGAGAACACAACTTTTGAAGTAGTGTTGGTGGTCTCCCTGATTGAACGAATACCTATAAAAATAAACATTGCAAGCAAGAGCGGATTTAGGTGACGGTCGCGAAGGGTGTATATTTTTTAGGAGGGAAGATTATTTTAGGAGGGAAGGTGCCCTGGTGTCCAGCACCCCAATATCATTGATTTTTTTCATGTGAACAAACCATAACTGCCAACAAAATTTCACTAGATTTTATAGAATGTGAGTTGTCATGCTGATTCAAACGTAGGCGGCTATATCCTTGGAATCTAAGACAATATAAAATTTCTATTTTGACAAGGGAATGTGTCTTTTTGTCACTAAGCATCGGTTCCATTTCGAAAGTATCTTATCTGAACCATTATAACTATACCGGATTTTGGTACATATACATGAGCATAAAATACCCCAGCCCAACTTCCTGGACAATGCTGTCAACTTGCAGGGGGAAATAATAGCAATATTGGATGGGGGATAGGGGACAAAAGCGTAATGAAGCTGAATAAATGTGTTTCCCCTAAAACATGTATCTATTTGCCCATGATTCTTTTTCCTTACAAAGTAATAGATCGTTTTTCCTTGCAAGTAAACACATACTAAATGAATAAGTCTTTCACATAGTATAAATAGCATGAGCGTTCAAACCTGGTTATCTGGATTAAGAACAGTAAAATATCCAATGATAAGAATCACTTCGTGTAATAATTCATAATTTTTTTCAGGAGAACATATCCTGTAACAATGTTAAGAAAAATGTGTCATAATTTTATGTATCTCATAAATCAACCTAGCCTTGGCCTAATTGTCCACGCTGATTGGCTGATTAAGCCAGGTGGAGAAAATAATTTTCTTCTCCGGAGAGCACAACCTGGAATTAAAATTCTCTTGGAGACCAACTGAGTATTTTTATGCTAAATCTGTGCGTGAACATAGCGTCCTGGCCGACCGTGTTTTTAAATTCAGGGAAAGATGTCTGTCTACCATTAGTTGTTAGGCCCATAGTGGAACATGTGTGCTAACGAGTGTCATTCAAATTTTCAATTTGCAAATCTTCAATCTAACAAATTTCCTGCGGTAGTTTAAAAGGGTATGGAAATAAAAATTTAAACTTTTAAAAATTATGGGGGGAAATTTTTTACAACTTCTTCAAATGTTGTTTAGTTCTAGAAATATTTTGACTGAAATCATCATAAATCAGTGAACTGTCCGCCATCTTGGATTATTGTGGATATGTAACGTCACAAGCAGAGTCACGCGAATATTTTATCCAAATACGCAATGTTCATTATGAGCCAGTTATGAGCCTATCCAGTTATGAGCGCACCCAGCAGTTATGAGCCCATGAGTTATACAAAGATTTCTCGATTATTTCGACATGGATGGGAAATGTAAAATTAAATGATGTTTACCTCAAAGTATGACCAACGATGTGTCTGAACTGCAACGAAACTCCTTCACAGCCGAGTGAATTCTAAAAAAACATTCATTTTAAATTGATTTTATTTCATATTTATTTTTAATTTATTAAAATGGCTCACGGACCATTTGCAGAATTACTATGTCGTTATATACACATAAATTTCATTCTTTGATTTCTATTAAATTTAAAAAAAATGATAATCTTTTCCCTACCTGTACAAGTGTGAGATCAGCTGTAGCCAGGAAATTTAAAAATCGCAATCCTTTCGTTGCCATGGCATCCATTTCATCACTCAACTGTTCAGGTATCTTGGAAGGAACTTTGAGTCCGTCTCTGAGCAACACAGAATACAGCAAACTGATGACACCTGATCAAAAGCAATGCATTAGACATCAGGCATGAGACAATAACAAAAGCTCCAATTTACCAATACGATAAATTCGGATACAATGTGGAAGCTTATCGGCTGAAGGTCCAATCAAATTCTCGTTTGCCAACTCTCTTAAACTCTCATTCTCGGTTGACCGGGGCATAAATTATTTGCAATGACGAAGATCCGGGTTTACAGATCGAAAATCTTGCCGAATAAATCAAGGTGGTAGCCAGAAGATTAAAAAACTCGGCAATTTAATGAAATTGGGAATTTCAGTTAGCCTGCGACATTCAGAGCGGAGTTATTGAATAGAAACGATGCCTATAGGGCCACAATTTTTAAAATATAGCCTCCAAATTAAATTTTGTACACTTAATACTATTAATGCTCTTCTCACTTCTGCTGTGTATATGTAGTGCTAACATCAAATTGAAATTTACTCCGAACGTCATAAAGGCCCTTTGGCTAACACTTTTAACATGCTAATACACGCTTCCGGAAAGTACCTTACCTTGGCTACATGCAGAGCCTCGTTCTCATGATTGAGACGATGGGCTTTAATAAACTAATGTCGCATACACGAAAACGAGGCTCTATATATAGACAAAGTGGCGCCGGAACGGCGGAAGGGTGTATTATACAGCTATTTCAATTAAGGTTGTCCCCAAACGAAGCGGAAAAGTCGTATACAGCGCGAAAGGCTGCTGGGAATCGCTAAAAAAATCGGTAATTTTTTAGCAAATCTCAGCAAGCCTTTCGCGCTCGTATTTGACTTTTCCGCTTTGCTCGAGGACAACCTTAATTGAAATAGCTGTATACAGTAAACTCAAATATCAAAACAAAAGCTTGAAAATAATATGTATAAAATTTAATCATTATAAAGTCTAAATGAATATATATATAGTGTTCAAACTAGCTCACTTTCTTCTACAGAACATTTATTTATTTAACTTTGCCACACAAATGAGTGGCAGGGTCACCACAATATAGCATACGCCAATTACTGTGGGCACTTCACTGTAACTTCAAGAGTCAAAACCACTCCAAACGAGTTGTTCTGGGATCAAATTTGACCCGACTCCTAAGGGGTCGTTTTGCCTCTTTTGAATTTACAATGTTTGAAGAAAAACTATGTACATGTATATATATATAATTACATTAATTAAGAGTGTCATAAAGGCATCAAGAACAAGACGGTGAATGTCCGTGTGGAATGGTATACAGAATGCATGCTATGCGAATGCAAATTTCGAGACATTTTTTCACCTGTTACCCTCACCCGAATCCTAAACCTAATTTAACCATTCCGCCTTTCGCATTCCCCTATAACAAAATTACGTGCAACATTACCACAGAATAGAGACACACAGAAGGTCTACTCAGCCAAACCAGCGTAACCGCTCTTCACGCCATGATTCGCGTTCCTAGCCAGTACACTCATGAGAGGAGGATCACCCCCCCCGAACGTCCGCCATTCTTGAATATTTTCAGGGGGTGAATGTCTCTCATAAGCGCACTGGACGGTTACGCCACGATCATAGGCAAAACCAAGAAGTCGACTTTCTGTGTGTCTCTATTCTGTGGTATTACATTTATAGTCTATATCATGCTATGTTATTTCATCAACATCATCATCGCGTCAAGTACTGACTTAAGGTATGTTTGAGAAGGCTTATTGGAAGAGAGGGTTATTAATAATCGGGAAGGAAGAGAAATTCGGTAAATTAACGCGAATTTCCAGTCTATTTAATAAACCTAATCAATACTGTACACACACCGACGGTTTTTAGTTGTGAAGGAGGCGTTTAATAGAGGATTTACGGTAAATTAACAAAACATTCTGTTAACGTTCACGGCCGAGTTTTTTGAAGAAAAATGACATGCTCCTTACTGACCCAACAAAGAGCATCATTTGTTGAATAGCGGACAATCTCAAAACAAACTGTACGTTCTGGAAAGTTTGTATCATACAGTAAATACGAACATTCACGTTCGGCTGTTTGATCAGACAAATATTCTATCAGTGTCTTGTTATCATCCTCGTCGTAAACCTCACCAATGAACTTCTTGGCGACTTGGTTATAAAATAACATGTCATAGGTATCGTCACCTTCAATTGGACGAAATTTAGCAGTCCTTTGTAACTGTCCGTTTTCTGTGTAGATGTAAAGTACATTTGAATCTTTTAAAAAATCATTGTTCGTTTGTGTCGTGAGTGTTATTTCATTATTGCAAGAAACAGATACGGAACGTAAAATACGGTCCTTCAAATCTGTGTCAAAGCTGTTTATCAGTTCTCCTTTGCTGTTATATAAATATACCATGATACTTTCAAACATACAACTAATGACAATATTCTTGTCTTTGGTCACATTAATGTACATTATTAAATAATCTTGACCTTTAAGAAATTCTAAAGAACAATGATGCGTATTTCTTCCATCTGCACTGTAGATTGACAACGTGAAGTCAAACGCCTCGTCACGCGACAGAACATACACTTGGTCGTCTTCATCGATCGTTACATCAACGACTTTACTGTTAGGCTGAGACTGTTCAGTGTTGTCGTCTAAAGGAGAAATACAGTACGGCTGCAACTTGCCTGTTGTTTTGTCGAGCTTTAGAAGACGTCTGCCGTCAGCACAAATGAAATCTCCTCGTTTGTTTAATACACATTTTTCGTCATCCAAGCTCGTTTCAAATACTACGATGTCCCAAGGTGGTGTTATTTTCATTTCTTTCAGATTTGGTACACTCTCTTTCTTGCAATGAATTGGATGGACAATTCGTTTACCACACTTTATCATTGGCCAATCAAAAACAGCCATTCTCTGCTTTGTAAACTTCGAGATAAAATCAGCCAAGATCCAATTGATCATCGTTACGCTTTCCACGATTTCCGCCCGTGAGTCTTTCTTGAAGACAGATTTCACTCCTCCTTTCACGTGCACAGAAAATATTTCTTGTGTGGCTCGCATATCGTTTAGTTCTTGAAGACAGTGCAAGCAATCGCTTACCGCGAGTTCCAAATCGTCCAAATGTTCAAGAATACCGCTTGCGATGCGTACTTTACTCGCTAAAATTCTCTCCTCTGTGCTCAGCGCTGCATTATGAAATGCTCTTCTCGCTTCTTTTCCAGCCTCTTTAAAAGATTCTTTAGCCAACTCATATCTTTCAATTGATACGATCTTCAATTTCCCAATGGCATTGGCCAGTGCAACTGCGTCTTCTACAGTCACCGACTGTTGAGCTGGCTTCACCTCGACTGAACGTGCCTCACCGCATTTCAAAAGTAGGGGGGTTTCCACCCCCGGCAGAGTCGTCAAAAGACATGATCAAACGATTGATACCTTGCTGTAAGCAACTAATGCTCGCAGAAAGATCTTTTCTCGAAATAGCATCAAGTTTAGACTTAATGTCGTCCAATTCACGAACAATCAAACCTCGAAACTTTTGATCAGCGAGACCTCCATCTTGGAGTTTCTCAGCGCCGTAAGTACGAAGTTTGTTCGATACTAAACCGAAGGTAAGCTTTAACAAACCTGTGAACACTTCAGACATCTTTGCTCAACTGTGTGAAGTAAAACTATGAGAGAAGGTTTTATTAAATTTGGTATTCAAATATCACACAGTGAATACATTTCAATGACACTTGTGTGATCAACGTAGCTTGATTCCTGCTGGCGGGGTGATCTGTTTCCGCGTAATGAAGCACAAGCTAAGTTTATAACAAACCCTTTCAATAAATTTGGAATTTACAAGTAATGTAAAAAATATCAACTAGATGATGAAAGCAATTGTTATTTGAGGAAACACTTTTGAGATATAGTTACGACATTTGAAAGGCGGGTTTCGGTCGCTGATTCGTTTGTGTTATGATCTTATATTATTCTTTTGTGAAGGATTAAAGGTCCGAATATTCAATATGAAAAGCAGTTAACGACCCCTGATCCTCGTTATACCAGTTTCTTTATGTTTTCTGCTTTTATAACGCTTTTCCTTTTCTTAATTTTCCATTTGTAGACTATTACAGTTCTATATTGTTCTTATCGCAAAGTCTTTCCACCCTACATGCACTTTTTGTAATGGGGGCAGTTGAAAATTTATACTAATAGAGAAACGAGTAGATCTTTTATGAATGTCCAAATCTGTCTTTAAAATGAAATTTATATGTACGACTTTTTGTTGTTTTTTATACCATGGAGCCAAGTTTTAAAGTAAGATTGCAAGCTAGTATTCTTCTTATATGCATGCATGCGAATGAAAACAAAGTATACTTGCAACCATGCGACTGCATTGTAGGAATTGAACTCAACCCACCCGTAATAGCCATTACGAAATTTCAATGCTATTTTCATGCAGTGGTTATTTTTGGTCGTTCTATGAGGATGTCTTTGCCTCCAACTGTGTCTATTTACATTCTTTACAACAAAGGATAAGCTAAATAAGATCGAAATATATGACTACCTCTCTGAGTTTCAAACCTTCTCTGCAGAAGACCTTCAATTAGCTAACATAATCAAAGGTAGGCCTAACAAGAACTATTGAGTGGTCATTCTAATCTAATACTGTTACCAACTTTACTTTCATTTCATTTCTAATTCTAGATGCAATTATAACATTTCAAAGGCAAGTTTTGCTGGCTGACTTCTTTTGTTGTTTTGATCAGGAATTGTTCGCCTCCAAGTGGGTCTGTCCGTCTGACTAAATTGATAACGTTTAAGTTTACATTCCGTGCAACAAAAGATGAGCTAAACCTTCTCTAGCGACCTTAATTAAAGTGTAAGTTAGGTAACATAAATACATAATCAAATTAAGTATTTAACTTATAATTATTTGATATCATTTTCATGCGATCCATTTCCCAAGTTTACTTTGATCTCTGAGACCTAATAATTGTTAAATCTATAGAAGTGAGGTTTCGCTAATTGATTTCTTTTATTGTTTTATTAGTGTCTTTCTTAGTGACTAAATTGATAACGTTTGAATTTACAATCTTTACAACAAAACATGGACCAAAATATCTTTTATAAATTAAGCTCTACATCTCTTACTTTAATATTCGAGCCCTAATTTTGTTAAATCTAGAGGCGAGGTTTTGGTAGCGGATTTTTAGTCGTTTGATAATTAAGGAAGTCTTCGCCTCCAACTGTGACCATTTATGACTAGATTGATAGCGTTTCAGTGTACATTCTTTAAAACAAAAAAAATACGCTAAAACATAAAACATCTGTAACAAGTCTAGATTTCTCAGTTATAAACCGTTTCTCAAGACCCTACATAATTTAGTTAGGTAACTTAGTTAAATCTATATACCAATAATTATTTGACCTACGGATCCTAAAGATGTCTTTCGAATCACCCACCCCATCTTCCCTGATTCGAAATATATGTCCTAATATTTAAAAAAATACCAAATCTCCGAAAATTTGGTACAAAATTGCGAAATCGCAAGAATGAAAATGATCAGCCAAAAATCCCCCGAACCCCTTATCGTACTACATTATTTGGGGGCAGTGGGAGGGGGGCACATTGCGTAATTAATGAGGTTTGAAGTCAGCCATTACTTCTAGGTCTGACTGATAAAGTTCTGTGCAGTTCTACGCTAAAGTATGAAGTATTCCCATGCTATATTTGGTTCCCTAGTAATGGCAGATTTCTATAGACCTTTATCACGTATTTTGAGATGATTTAAAATTTGATGTTAGCATTCTATCATAGCAGAGAAGACACAGGTCACAGTTGCAAGTACAATAAGTACAAAAAATTTGAGGATTTATATTAAAACACACTGGCCTGGAGATGGCTTTAATAAACTAATGTCGTATACATGAAATCGAGGCTCCATAGCCAAGCTGGCGTACTTTATACTCAGTAAATTCAAATATCAAAACAAAAACTTGAGAATCACATGTATAAAATTTAATTATGGCTATATAAAGTACAGCAATTATATTCATGTCCATTTATATAAAGTCAAAATGAATATATAGTGTTCAAACTAGCTCACTTTCTTCTACAGAACATTTATTTATTTAACTTTGCCACACAAATGAGTGGCAGGGTCATCATAATACAGCATACGCCAATTACTGTGGGCACTACACTGTACATTCAAGAGTAAAACCACCCCAAACGACTTGTTCTGGGATCAAATTTGACCCAACTCCTAAGGGGTCGTTTTGCCTCTTTTGAATTTACAGTGTTTGAAGAAAAACTATGTACATATACTTAAACAATTACATTAATTAAGAGGGCAATAAAGGCATCAAGAACAACAAGAGAGTGGGGTAGCATGACGGTGAATGTCCGTGTGGAATGGTATACAGAATGCATGCTATGCGAATGCAAATTTCGAGACATTTTTCACCTGTAACCATCACCCCAAACCTAACCCTAATTTAACCATTCCGCCTTTTGCATTCCCCTATGACAAAATTACGTGCAGCATTACCACAGAATAGAGACACACAGAAGGTCGACTCAGCCAAACCAGCGTAACCGCTTCACGCAACGATTCGCGTTCCTAGCCAGCACACTTAAGAGAGGAATTCACCCCCTGAAAGTCGGCCATTAATCTTGAATATTTTCAGGGGGGTGAATGCCTCTCATAAGCGCACTGGACGGTTACGTCACAATCATAGGCAAAACCAGGAAGTCGACCTTCTGTGTATCTCTATTCTGTGGTATTACATGTAGTCTATATTATGTTATGTTACTTCATCAACATCATCATTGCGTCAAGTACTGATTTAAGGTATGTTTGAGAAGGCTTATTGGAAGAGGGAGTTATTAATAATCAGGGAGGAATCTTAAATGAGAAATTCAGTAAATCAACGTGAATTTCCTGTCCATTTAATAAATCAATACACAGACTGACGGTTTTCAGTTGGGAAGGAGGCGCTTAATAGAGGATTTACGGTAAAATCAACAAAACATCCTGTTAACGTTCATCGAGGTTTTTGAAGAAAAATGACATGCTTCCTACTGACCCAACAAAGAGCATCATTTGCTAAATGGCGGAGAACTTTATAATAAAATGTACGTTCCGGAAAGTTTGTATCACACAGTAAATACGAACATTCACGTTCAGCTGTTTGATCAGATAAACATTCTATCAGTGTTTTGCCATCATGGTCGTAAACCTGACCAATGATCTTCTTGGTGACTTGGTTGTAAAATAACGAGTGATAGGTATCGTCACCTTCACTTGGACGGAATTTAGCAGTCCTTTGTAACTGGCCGTTTTCTGTGTAGATGTAAAGTACATTTGAATCTTTTAAAAAATCATTGCACGTTTCTGTCACGAGTGTTATTTCATTATTGCTAGAAACAGATACGGAACGTAAAACACGGTCCTTCAAATCTGTGTCAAAGCTGTTTATCAGTTCTCCTTTGCTGTTACATAAATATACCATGATACTTTCTGATTCACAGCCCATGACAATATTTTTGTCTTTGTTCACATTAATGTACATTCTAAAATAATCTTGAACTTTAAGAAATTCTAAAGAACAATGATGCGTATTTCCTCTTTCTGCACTGTAGACTGACATCGTGTAGCCCAGTTCCTCGTCACCCGACAGAACGTACACTGTGTCGTCTTCATCGATCGCTACATCAACGAGCTGAGAATGTTCAGTGTTGTCGTCCAAAGGAGAAATACAGTACGGCTGTATCTTGCCTGTTGTTGTGTCGAGCTTTAGAAGACGTCTGCCGTCAGCATAAATGAGATCTCCTCTTTTGTTTAATACACATTGTCGGAAACCCAAGCTCGTTTCAAGTACTACGATGTCCCAAGGTGGTGTTATTTTCATTTCTTTCAGATTTGGTACACTCTCTTCCTTGCAATGAATTGGATGGACAACTCGTTTACCACATTTTACCATTGGCCAATCAAAAACAGCCATTCTCTGCTTTGTAAACTTCGAGATAAAATCAGCCAAGATCCAATTGATCATCGTTACGCTTTCCACGATTTCCGCCCGTGAGTCTTTCTTAAAGACAGATTTCATTCCTCCTTTCACGTGCACAGAAAATATTTCTTGTATGGCTCGCATATCGTTCAGTTCTTGAAGACAGTGCAAGCAATCGCTTACCGCGAGTTCCAAATCGTCCAAATGTTCAAGAATACCGCTTGCGATGCGGACTTTACTCGCTAAAATTCTCTCCTCTGTACTCAGCGCTGCATTATGAAATGCGTTCATCGCTTTTTGCCCAGCAACTTTAAAAGATTCTTTAGCCGACTCATATCTTTCATTTGATACGATCTTCAATTTCCCAATGGAAGTGGCCAATGCAACTGCATCTTCTACAGTCACCGACTGTTGAGCTGGCTTCGCTTCGATTGAACATGCCCCAGCGTTCGGTATTTCAAACGCGGAGGAGTTTCCATCCTCGGAAGACTCGCCAAAAGATATGATCAAACGTTTGATACCTTGCTGCAAGCAACTAATGCTCGCAGACAAATCTGTTCTCGACATAGCATCAAGTTTAGACTTAATGTCGTCCAATTCACGAACAATCAAACCTCGAAACTTTTGATCAGCGAGACCTCCATCTTGGAGTTTCTCAGCGCCGTAAGTACGAAGTTTGTTCGATACTAAACCGAAGGTAAGCTTTAACAAACCTGTGAACACTTCAGACATCTTTGCTTGACTAAGTCAAATTAAAATATGCGCAAATATTTTGGTGACAAAGACTATATTGAGACAGTCACACGACAGTCAAGTGAGTAAGGTATCAAGTTTCTGATGTGTTTTTCTAAGCTCGGAACATTCCAAATATTTTTTAGTTAGCTGACCTTGCACGACCTCCTTTGTAAAACCTGTACTTTTCGTCAGTTTATATATAAAAAATACTTGTTTCGTTAATAAACATTGTTCAGTTGTGATATTGCTGGATTTGCTGCCGTGGACTTTAATACATGCGTGCAAGATGTTATTTTGATGACAAGAACCATATTGAGAAATTAGTCACAAGATTTAAGTATCAGATTTCTGATGTGTTTGCAACATTCCAAATTTTATATATTGCCACAGTCACAAAACTGTCAAGTGATTAAGTTCCTCAGGTATCAAGTTTCTGATGTGTTTGCAAGATTCTAATCTCGCGACCACTCCAAATATTTTTTTTAAAGGGGAAGTCAAGTCCGTTCTGCGCATCGGTTCAGCTCATAACAATGTGAGGACCTCTAATGTGAACATTGCCCAAATTTCGAATGTTTCGAATTTTTCTGAACATAAACTCTATTTCATATTCATTTAGAAGCATAGCAAAGCAAAATGGTGTTAGATATTCAGACAGTACATCATATTTTAAAAAATACAGCAGTTCAAAATGTAAACAAACCGTTTGTTTACATTACGGACTTGACTTCCCCTTTAAAGTTTCTGAAACGTTCTCTGATTTTACGATCAGGGGCCGGTTGTATAAAAACTTAGTTAGCGCTAACTGCAGTTAAAAAGTAGTTAAAAAGCCTTAAAAAATAGTTAACTTTAATCACGTAGTTAAGCCGGTTGTATATAAGTGTAGTTAGCCTTAACTGCAGTTAAAAAGTAGTTAAAGTTAACTATGCTTTAGGGTATGGTTAACTGTCCAAAACGTAGTTAAAAATGGCGTTTGTATAGGAGTGAACAACATTTTTCAGTAAAACAACAATGAAAAGCAACGCTTACCTGAGATTTTCAATGGCTATCTTCCCTGTGAATGTTTCTTGACTATATAAACTCTTCACACGCTATCGCTTTGGTGTTTTTACGAAAACAGAACATATTTTTGCACAGGACAATTTCTCGAAGACGAAGTATGGTCCAATACACCAAGAAACACTGATATATACTGATTGCCAAACAGCTAGACCTTGGTTTAACGTAGACATCTCAAGGAAAAACTGCATTCTATTATGATTTTTGTGGCGGCTTTTCCTTGTTTTCTTGTCTATTTTTCACTGTTTTCTAGTGTTTTGAATAAAATTCCCGCCAATTTGCAAAATACGAGTCCACAATCATGTTGAAAATGTTGTCAGCGGTCGTTACTCCAATACACCCTGCTTACTTTATGTAATTTTGTGTTTAAACGCCCCACGCAAGCCCGACGCACAGTTAACTACGTGATTAGTTAACTATCCGACTAACTACGTTTTGTGCAAGGCAGTTAAGTCATGTAGTTAACTAATTACAGTTAAGGATTTAACTACAGTGATTAACGCTAACTACAGTTAGCGCTAATTACGTTTTTATACAACCGGCCCCTGATTATTAATGGAAGGACATCTTCGGAGTATATTCCATGAAATTTATTATACAACCAATCAAATTGAGTTAAAAGCACTATCCACCTCCAGTATATATGCTAAACATTCAGTCAGCATTTAAATACCATCACGACCGACTGCTCATGCTTGTCAAATGGGGATACGAAGAGGAGAGTGGGGGTTGGGCTGGAGAGCAGCTACCACATCCCCCCTTTCTGTACAGACCTCGTGTTCGGTTAATAAGAAGTTAATAAGATACATGAAAAACCGTCACTCCTTAAAACTCCTATATATTTGTTTTTCTTTGTATTATTTCTCCTGGAAATTGTTTGTGTTATTAATTTGCTATCTTTGTTTCAATCATATTTTAAACCACTCAGGAAGCCTAAATAATCAATGAAATTTGCACTTTATTTTTTTTTTTTGCACCGTATTTCATTTTTTGGCACTGTATTTTTTCATGTATATTATTAAATTTGTACTTAATTAACAAACACGTTATCGTAATTATTATTATTATTATTATTATTATCATCATTATTATTATTATTATTATTATTATTATCATCATCAGGTTATTGACTCTCTAGAAAGACTGAACATCGCTTTCGGGCAGGAATTATATGCGATGTTGAAGGAACATGATATTTTGAGACAGAAATACGACAATAACGTCTACCTTCTTCAAGAAGGAAAGAGACTAGAGAAAGAATATAACGAATGGCTTGAAATGAGGGAACGACAAGGGGATTTGTTTAGCGAGTCAAGTTCTGAATCAAGAAGTGAATCTGGCCAGCAAGAGGAGGAATTTGTAATTCAAGTAAAGGGACAAAATATGACAACATTACATCAGAACGTGGCTATGACGGCAGACGAACTAAGCTATTCTGTGAAAAATATATTGAGAAAATTCAGATCAGATCCTACTGCAACAAAAGCCGTTCTAGGTATGTGGTATCTAAGTCCCTATTCATAAGGGCCGACTGAATTCGGAACCTTATAACTAAAACTCTTTTTTGTTACGCCCTATGTTCATATGAGATGCATGAAAATGGACGATTTCCAGCACATCTATTAAACCATAAGAATTTGAGACCAAATAAAATTAGCTTTCGTTTTGTACCGGGGTGGCTCCAAAATTAGACTGCGCCATGTGAACAGCGAAACCGGTTTCTTTCAAGACAATTTTGTCCAGTAGAGGATTGGGATTGACTGAGAACATCTACACTCGCATACGTATATACTTCCGGAACGGCGATTCATCCGGTTTTAATTATGTGAACACTTTTCGTCTTGTAACTTATCCGACCCTGTGTGAACGTGAACTAATTAGAACTGAACACATGCATTTTCGTTAAAAGTATAAAAGGTTTAATCTTTCACTTCGCTGCAAACTGACTGTCTGTTGAATGTGAAATATAGTTCAGAAACCCTCCAAATCTTCCAAAACGTACCAAGAACGCACAAAGTATATTCAATATGTTAATAATAATATAATAATCTTATACAAATTCATTAGTTCAAGAAATAGGGGATTCATGGTTTCCGACACCATCTTGAATCTATTGCTTTCACCATTGTGTTTGCACCTCTTACAAATTTACCTATATAGGGAATTCCATTGTTTTTGCACCCCTTGCACTATTGTGTTTCGTTATGGCGTCGGAAACCTTGAATCTCCCTATTGCCTGGGTCGGTGCTATTGAACGGCCAGGTACTGGGCCTGATTATAATCTTTATACTTGTCCAACTTTCTAAGAATTATTCGACTTAGACGAAGATGCATGCAAGTTGGTAGTTTCATCTGGGTTTTTTCTCCATTTTCCAAACTTTAGTACTCGCTATCCATTCGTTGGCGCCATATCTGGCCATTTTACACCAAATTCTCGTTTCGTTTCTTGGCTTGATATATATACATGCAATATTTACAATTTTTATTTTGAATCTTGTAATTATCCTGCTTTTCCGCCCGCATTGAGCAGACATTACCCATTTGACATTCGCGATGTCGCGAAAACAGCGAATATAGCGAAGTTTACTGCATTATTCTTCATTACATTGTCTTTTAAACCTTTCGAGGTAAATGTTCACTTGTTTGTCTTTGTTTTGTCGGTTTCTTACTTTTGTGGTCAAGAAATTGGCGTCACAAAATCTATTATTGATATAATTGTAATAAATCCATAACTTCTTCAAAATATACAGTATCTTCAATTTAATTTCTTAGAGCTGGCGAAAGATTTATCTGGAATGAAAAGAAATTTTGTGAAGGGTCTTCAAGATCTGCAATCAATCGTTCGAGAAAAGCTCCTGACAACTCCGGTAGAATTGGAAGAGAGAAAATATTACATCGGAAAAGTTGTTCAGAGGGAGAATAAAATTTTAAAGATCAAAGAGAAACTACAAATAGATTATGATCAGCAAATTAAAATCAAGAAAGAGGAGGTCCATACTTTTTTACATATTTTATATATTATAACGATATACTTGGTTTTTCAAACTAGAATCGATGTTTGATCGAAAAACCTTCCAGCAAGAATTGGACGTGGGTGCTTCCATTAACATGGATCACAAATGTTTTTGAGAACACGATACTAGCATTGAGATACCATGAGTACTACTAGTACTAAACATATATTGAATTGGTGTATTGACGATCATTGCTGGCGGAAAGGTTTCATTAATCTAGTTTTAAAAATTTGTCGGATTGTATAGGCATAATAATTATTATATGAGGCGTGAAAAACTAGTTTCATATGTATACAGTGCGCCTTCATGATTTTCGTTGCTATGTTCTTGCGAATAATCAAAATGGGAAAAAAATTGTAATTTTCGACTGATGGAAACATGGATAATTCCAGGGGCGTAGCCAGCCCCAAACAAATGGAAGGTGGGACAAATCATCAAATACACAAAACAACTATGGGATCCAGCCGGAGAATGTTTGTATTTTTAGGATTTGCAAAACGCTATTTTATGCATTTTATAGACAAGTTTTATGATAATCTGAAAGCCACAGATTTGGTATATTTTATATAATAGATGAACGCATTACGAAGTCCCCCCCCCCCGATTTCTTATTAATTTTGGAAGAATTACAAATTTAGTCCCGTAGAAAAGTGGAGGCGGACTCCAATTCCAACTGTTGCGACGCCCTGAATAATTCCCACTGCCTTGAAATTATTATTTATCATATGTTTCCAACACTGCTACTTTACTATTGTACTAGGGGCAGTTGTTCGAAAGCCGATCAGCTTAACCCTAGGTTAACCTAAAATTCAAAGCAAACTTCCCAAGAGCTTGTCTATAAATTTGGAAATATTTCTTCAGAGATCTTGTCTGGATCGATAGGAGTTTACGTCTCTGAAGTTTTGAAATAAAGAAAGAAACACACAAACTAAAACAGCAAGTTAAATTTTAACCCAGGGTTAGCCCTAACCCACCTTTGAACAACCGGCCCCTGTACAATTGTGTAATTCTCTGAAATTGAGGTTAAAAATTTACAAAGCTGTTTATATTGATTTACAAATTAACAATTTATTTCTCCTAGGAGGAAAAACAAAGCGCGGTGATTAATAAACTAAAGGAGACTTTACAGTCACTGAATGAGGCAAGTAGCAAAGAATGTTCCAAAATATTGAACGATGCAAGTCAACGAATTAAAGCTGATGTTAAAAACAGTGACGCAAAACAAAAGGTTTTTGCGCAACAATTTATTGAAACGAAGAAAACATCTGGAGACCAGTTGAAACAGAATTATGAAGAGGAACGCGAAAAGAGGAAGGTATTGTCGATGTTCGTACTTATTATATTCACCTACGAGATCCAGTGAATATACTGCAAAATTAACCGCGACTAAATTATGTACGCATGACGACCACATTGTGAAAACATCGCCTGCTGCTCTCCATTAATATTATCACGGATATCCAGTAGAGAGAAGGCACCTCAACTTAAGAATTACCAGTTGGTGTTCTCAAACGGCACTTTAATTCGAGGCTTTCTCTTTTCGAAAAAATAAAAGCTAAGCTAGATTATTAAAATACCTCTTTGCAAGTGTCCTAAACCAGAAATAAATTGAGTGATTATTTTGGATATCATAAATGTCCTAACATCATAATTTAACGTTTTTCCTATGTCACAGAGTGTTAAAAAATGAGAACTAACTAATAGTATAAATAAAATGACAAATTTAATTAAACATGAACCTTAATTTACTTTGTGTTGCAAACCATTGAAATAAATAACTGGAAAGCAACCTTCAGATAAACTAAATATATTTTCCTTGAAACCAAATCTGACCTCCAGACACGCGTAACTGGAGGTCAAGACACGCGTGTTTATGCCATTGACTGATTGTGCGCTCTTCACATGCGTGAAGGGACTGGGACTGGGACTTGCATTCATGTTAATTGGGCTTCAAATTTCCGGTTTTAGGTACCATTCCAGTTATATTCATTTCAATGCTGTTGCAAACAGATATCTGGTCTTTTTTGTTGCCACCATCTTGTTTTCGCCAATTTCGTCCCTACACCGGCAAAATGCACCTGTTTGTAATTCTATACTTTGGAATGTATTTTGGAATCCGTTTCGGCTAACATGTCTTGGCAATATCCACGATCCTGGGTGGATATAGTTTCTCTGGGAATACTTTATGAACAATAAATAAAATTCTGTGTGATTTTGATTATTTAGAGAAAATTTAAACTTTCTACAGAGGTATTTAATTGGATTCAGAAGTATGATGCCGATATGGGAATGCGACAGGTAAGCCTCGTCAACGAAAGGTTGGTTTGGTTTGGCCGGTTAGACAAGGTTCATAGGTAGGGGTTTTTGGCCGTATTTTCGAACGAATCCACTAATTGTCCACGATTGTACTTTCACTGAAAAGGTATAACATCTTGGGTTCTGGGAAGACTTGGCATGCAAAAACTTGATCATTTTGTCTATTTTGTACTTGGGGCAAGGAATCAGGAACTTACGAATTACGTTATTCCACTTTCACCCTGCATGCTCATTGGGGGTTGGATATAATTTTGGAAACACGTATTCAATTAACAGTTAGTAACTGGAACAAAAAGAGACAGTATGTTTTGAAGACAGGGCCATAGGGGTATTGACGGAGGTATTGAGGGCCATAGAGGTATTGACGGAGGTACATAGATGTATTGACAGGGCCATAGAGGTATTGACGGAGGTATTGACGGAGAAAATTGCACTATTCGGAAAAGTTACCAGCCTATTCGGAAAATTCGGATCTGGATCGTCGCTATATTAGTCTAGGACCTGTATATGAGTTTGTATGCATTTCATTTAGGACAGATAATCTCAACTGTTTTAGGGCAAGTTGACCATGACGGTCAACATGGTAACGCTGCCCGAACCCCAATCCGGGACGAAACGTCCGAAACTGACCACAACCAAAAACGACGCTTTCGCCATACTGCTATCTACCAAACCATAAAAGCTTTTGCTATTCTGAGGTGCTTATATGGTTCAGAGATGGTACTTTTGAGGGTGGTCATTGGTAAGTGTGAAATGCCTAGCACTAATATTTCACAAGAAAATGACCATGCAATAATCATAGTTAAACGTCAATTTGTGGCTTGCAACTTCAGATAAACAGCAGTGGACTTACATTACCTTTTTCCCTAGATCTTTTTTATAGAAACATAATTGGTACTTATTTAAATATATTATCACTGATTTGGTGTAAAATAGTTAATATTTTCTGACCGAAATAATAATTTGAATTGTGTCTACCTCCTGCAAATGGACGTATTTGGCCAAGTTCTCCACTTTACTCCGCTGTTTATCGGCGATGTCGTAGACATCCTACAAAAAATATAAATCATCTCAGACATAATGGTATCAAGAACATTTTAAACAAGTTTCAACTTGGTTTCAAGTAGATGTACTATAAGAAATACGCCATTTTATCACCATGTAAAATGTTGTTTGAGAGTCCTTCAAAACATTCCGTACAAATCTCGCGTGGTTTAGAAACAGGGACGTGACAGGGGGGGTAAAAAAAATAAAAGGAAAGCCCACACAGTATGGTAAAACCAACAATCAACATTTAATTTGTATGACTTTTTCATATTAATAAATAATAATATGTATATATTTGTCGCTACAAGAAATAAAACAAACATTTGTGTGATTGTATTTAGCTTTTAGTCTATTTCACGCAGCCTTCTTCTATCTTCGTGAAATAATTCACCCCCTCCTGTCACGTCCCTGTTACTTTGTCACGCGATATTTGTACGGAATGTTTTGAAAGACTCGTGAGCGAAATTTTACAGGGTGATAAAATGGCGAATTTCTTATGTTTTGTTTAGATTTTTAGTTTCCTCCTGTTATAAAGGGTTAAATTTATTATTAGTGGAATGGAAATGGCTTGGATGGAAGAGTAACAAGGCTGAATTGTTAACAAGCGACATGGGATGACAAAATGGCGCCAAATTTGGACAAAGTTGTGGATTTACCTTGTCGATGGTTAAACAGGTATGATCTACTTGAAACCAAGTTGAAACTTGTTTAAAATGTTCTTGATACCATTATGTCTGAGATGATTTACATTTTTTGTAGGATGTCGACGAGATCGCCGATAAACAGTGGAGTAAAGTGGAGAACTTGGCCAAATACGTCCATTTGTAGGAGGTAGGCACATTTCAAATTATTATTTCGGTCAGAAAATATTAACTATTTACACCAAACCAGTGATAATATATTTAAATAAGTACCAATTATGTTTCTATCAAAAAGATTTAGGGAAAAAGGTAATGTAAGTCCACTGCTGTTTATCTGAATTTGGAAGCCACAAATTGACGTTTAACTATGATTATTGCATGGCCATTTTCATGTGAAATATTAGTGCTAGGCATTTCACACTTACCAATGACCACCCCCAATAGTACCATCTCTGAACCATGTAAGCACCTCAGAATGGCCAAAGCTTTTATGGTTTGGTAGATAGCAGTATGGCGAAAGCGTCGTTTTTGGGTGTGGTCAGTTTCGGACGTTTCGTCCCGGATTGGGGTTCGGGCAGCATTACCATGTTGACTGTCATGGTCAACTTGCCCTAAAACAGTTGAGATTATCTGTCCTAAATGAAATGCATACAAACTCATATACAGGTCCTAGACTAAAGCTAAATGGCTAATGTCGCTGTAAATACTAAATTAACATCAAAGGTGCCCCACGTTTTTAAAAAAAATTAGGTCAAAAACGTGCAATTTCGGTATGGTACTACGGGAAAATTTTTCTTTCCCCCCCCCGTCGCCAACATTTCCGGGAAAAATTTTTTAGGTCCCCTTTTCAATCCCTTAAAGTGGCCCTAGAAGCCGGTGCCCCCCCAATCTTTTGATGCTTCCTACGCCCCTGCATTTACTGATGTTTCGGTGCATATTTATTTAGATCGGGTATCTCCTAGCGGTCACGTCGTGTTCAAGAAAATCACTTTTATGTCACTTTCATATGGTTAAACTGACGTCGAGCGATTTTGTTTTGAGATCAGTGCATTTTTTAATTAAGGTTTCTTCAGTGGTGGGGCAAAACTGCCAAAGGGCCCATCAGGGCCGTAGCTAGCATCTATAGTTGGGGGGGGGAGGCCAAAAATTTCCGAATGACGAAAACAATTTCCGAATATTTCATGGCATACGAAGCCACGAAGGTGTTTGCTATCCGGAAAATGGAGACGCAATTTACAAACACAAATACGCATATTTTACGCACAGATATATTACAGTAGCATGCAGTGCCATAGAAAGCTCTATTTGATTGGGGGTTGAAAACGAGGGCCGAAGGCCCGAGGAAATTTAAATTTGGGGTCTCTGAAATACCATTTCCTGGACTTTGGAGGAAGTTTTGACAGAATTCTGATGGCCAGAAAACAGCGTTTTAGTATGTCGAAATTTACAATTTGCTTACAATTTAGTAGTACTAAATGGGCGAAGGCATATTTAATTACTCGCTGGGGCACTGTGCCCCAGACGAGTATAGGTTTCGGCACGCATGGTGGATGTCAGATTTCCGATCGTCGTTGATAGCCACAAAATAGAATATTAATGAGCTGACAATTTTTACCCAAATTATCCATAAGGCTCCTGCCGATTTTTACCCAAATTATCCATAAATAACCCTTGATTTGACAAGTTGTTGTCGCTGTTGTTTTAATTAAAATCATTTTACTGCGTTGAGAAGAAATATTTACGGTAAAGAGATCTTTTATATAACTATGTTTACGGTAAGTAAATGTGATTTAATTTCAAATACGCTCACCTCGCATGACTCTGCACCTATTCGTGGTAGACCTACACTAAAAGATGCTGAGCGATTTCGAACCGGTCGATTATCCACGAATCGAAAAATACCTTCGGGTACGAAAAAACTTGCCAAAAATACTGCCAACAATTGCCAAAACTTGCCATCAATTGCCAAAAATACACAAAAAGTTGCCAAAAATATTATACAAAAAGTGAACAAAAATGTGACAAAAGTACTACAGAAATGACAAATATTAATACACAGACAAATTTACAACAAACAAACGTAAACTCAAAGTCAAGCTGCTGTACTGTCAACGAGCACATGGTCAACAAATATTTGCGGATAATGTTGAGCAAAGATGATGCGGAAAACAAGAATGTGTCCATAGATCAATGTATGTCAGGTACAAATATATCTAACTGTGTTTCTAAATTTGACCAGAATAAAATAACAAGTCCATCAAAGCCCAAGGCTAGGCGTATAAGGAAACTCCCTGTGCGATCACGACATGAATTGTTTTATAACGTCTGCACACAAAAGCATGTTACTGACTTTACTACCACTGGTTGCCATTTACGTCACCGTGACCGTGAACCCAGTAGAATACAAGTGAAATGGTTAACCAGGAAGTTTGGAAAAAGTCGATTGTTGAGAAAACGCCTTAGACATAAGATCAAAAGGTCTGTACCCAGATCTTCTCAGCTTCATTATATAGTAGAGAATATTAAGCATTGTCAAGACACTAGGTTGAAGTGTATTCCTGATGGTTACTGCCCAAAGAAGGTTGAAAAGAGATGCCGGACAAAATTTTCAGCAAGAGATGTCAAATTTTATATTTGTGAAGGTATTCTTGCAGATATATTCTATTTATCAGGTTCAACTAGTGATTTATATGCACAACAGGTGTTCAAAAATGTCAACCACTTAAAGAATGTCTGCCAGTCAGCATTATGTACAGATATTGAGACAAATCCTGGACCTGTATTCTATATTGATCCCAGCAAGACAATCAGTGCACCATATAGCCAAGGTAATCAGATTATATTTGGAGAAACAGCAGGACAGCAGTGTTTAGCAATGTGTTTATGTGCCCTTATATACAACAAAAGACAGAACATATGCTCACCACAAGACCTGGTTCATATAATGAATATTGGTAATCAACTATATTCAAACCTGTCATGTTTAGCAAGACAATCATTTTTATTGTTTACTGAATTGCCTTCACAACTCGCAGTTTTTGAGACAAATTTTGCTTTTCAGTACAGTGAGAGCTACAGCGGTAATGTAATTGGAGATTGTTCTATTGAAGGGTATCAATACTGTGTTCCATTTCACAGGTCATTTGAATTGCTCATAGGCGAAAACTATTGTGCATTCATCTTAACAATTGACTCCAATGCTGTTTGCATATTTTCCACTACTGATGGCAAGTATAAAATTTTTGACTCTCATTCAAGAGATATTTATGGCAGAAGTCATCCACAAGGTACATGTGTATTGTTAGAGGCACCAACTATTGACAATGTAATTTTGTATTTCCAGTCTTTATACAGTGAAAATAGTTAATTTGAGCTAAGAGGAATTAATATTGAAGAAGTACAAGCCAATGTTGACCAGAACGTAGACAACAATATTACAAATTCTGACCTATCAGGTAATGCCACACAAGAATCTAAAAGTACTGACATTTCTTCTTTGTGTGGACAATGCTGTGCGATTTCATTATATTCAATTTGTTATTCTGTTATTAAGCCATGTACTTACTGGGATTCAAATACAGTATCTGCAGTTGTTTACTTTGGCACTACTTTGTATAACAATACCGGGATACATATGTCTAGTGATATACCTAGAAAGCTTGAAATATGTGAAATTGAAATGCATGTAAAATTGCAAGCTAATATTCAAGGAGTAGTTAGTGACAAGGCAGAAAGCAAATTAATTATTGAAAGCCTTATTTGTCATACTAATGAAAACACAGGTTTTTTAATTTGGCTTGGAGATTATTGCATGTCTTGCATCTTTCAAAAAACATCAATTAAGAATATGTCGTACTCAATATTAGCGTATGATGATGATGATAGCTCACCTACGTCTATTGTACATTTTGTTAAAAACATAAAAGACAAGCACACATTAGTTGATACCATCTTTAACCTAGCAAACACCAAAATCAAGGATGAAAATTTAAATTACGAAATTCAGTTCTTGTCTTGTTCTTCTGAATTGACTAACTGTGAAAGAAAAAGGATTATGAAAAAGCACAGACAGAACTATATTAATGAAATCACTCCACCAGCTATAAAGAAACAGAAGCTAGCAAAAAAGCAGATGAAATACAAAACGATAGATCCATTAGTAAAACAACAAGTTAACTCTAAACGTGTAAATGATTACAAAATTATGGCTAAGGAGAAAAAACAAAAAATACTGGAAAATAAAAGAACAATATATGAAGTGTTAGATAAATCAAAGAAAGAAGAAATACTGACTAAAAATATGAATTATAAAAAAACAATGAGTAATGAACAAAAGAAAAAAATACTTGAGAAAAAAAGAGTTAAATACGAAACTTTAGATCAGTCAAAGAAAGAAGAAGTACTGACTAAACAATGAAATATAAAAAAAACAATGAGTGAACAACAAAAGCAAAAAATAATTGAGAAAAAAAAAGTTAAATATGAAACTTTAGATCAATCAAAGAAAGAGGAAGTGCTGACTAAAAATATGAATTATAAAAAATCGATGAGTGAAGAACAAAAAAAGAAACTATTAGAAAACAAAAGAGCAAAGTATCAAGTAATGGCTCCAGAACAAAAAAAAGATTTGCTGAATATAGAGAAAGAAAAAAGAACGGAAAAGAAATCTCAAATTGACCTTGACATGTACATTAATGAGTTTAAAAAACAAATTAAAGCAGGTCCATTTTACATATGCTGTGTGTGTAACCGAACATTGTATAAAAAGTCGGTAATTACCCTACAGAAAAATAAATATCCTCGCCAGGATTGTTTTATGCTTCAATGTTCTTTTGACGGCAAAGAATATGTCTGCAAAACGTGCCATGCTAAACTACTTAAAGGTCAACAGCCTTGTCAAGCTGTGGTAAATAATTTATTTGTTGATGAAACTCCCACTGCACTTGCTGCATTAGAGAAACTTGAACAAATTCTTATTGCACAAAGAATAGTCTTTGAAAAAATTGTAGTAATGCCAAAAGGACAACAAAGAAAAATCAAAGGTGCAATATGTAATGTACCAGTTGAATGTAGTCAAACATGTAATGTTCTTCCCAGACCACCTGACAGATCTGGGATAATTTTACTTAAATTAAAAAGGAAACTTCAATTTAGAGGTTATGTTTACTTCCAAGCAGTTCGCCCTCAGTTTGTAATTCGTGCATTAAACTGGCTTATAGTAAACAACCCTTTATATAGAAACATTGAAATTCAATGTGACAATATTAGCTCAGACTTAACTAATTTGAACTGTCCTGATACTGATCAAGAAAATATAGGTGAGCCATTGCAATTACAAAGTAATGTAAATAGAGAACTGTGTAATGAAGATGTTGAAGAACAAGATGATCCATTAAATGAACACCGTTCAGCAGCAAGCGAAACCTGTCTTCAGTCCATCTTGCCAAATTACCCTGTTAACCTGGACAATACAAACTGTAATTCAACAGGTAGAGAAGTTTTCAACATTGCACCAGGTGAAGGTAAACACCCAGTATCATTGATGACTGATAAGCTTTGTGAGGAACTTTTATTTCCAGTACTCTTTCCGAAGGGACGATTTGGTTACACCTCTGAACGAGACATAAAATTATCTCCAATAAAATATTTCAATGCTCGCCTTTTGCATTATAGTAGAAAATTTGCAACCAATCCAGAGTATCTATTCTTTGCACAATTCATTATGGAACAGAAAAAGATTTCTGATAGTATTAATATAGCTCTTAAAAAAATACATGGCCAGTCTGTCACAGCATCACAAGTAAAATCAAACAGTCAAGCTTTTCAAAATCTTCTTTTGCAAGATCAAGCATATCTGTTTTTACGACAAATTCCTGGCTCACCTCCTTACTGGAAAAAATTCATGTATGAAGTGGTAGCAATGATTAAACAGCTGGGAATACCGACATGGTTCATGACCTTATCATGTGCAGATTTAAGATGGCCTGAGCTATTTCAGATAATTGCAAGAACAAAAGGCAACAACATAACAGATGAAGAAGTAGATGCTTTGTCGTATCATGAGCGATGCTCAATGTTAAATTTAAATCCAGTTATGGTAGCTAAACATTTCCAGTATCGAGTCGAAACATTTTTCAGGGACGTTTTGCTCTCAAATGCAAACCCGATTGGTAAGATAGTATATTATGCACTCCGTATCGAATTTCAAATGAGAGGTTCACCACATTTGCACGCCTTAATATGGACATCTGATTGCCCAGAATTAACGAACGATACAAAAGATGCATACATAGATTACATTGACCGACATGTACAAGCATACCTCCCAGACAAAGAAACAGATTCTGAACTTTATGACTTGGTAAAAACGTACCAGACACATAATCACAGTAAAACCTGTAGAAAGTATAAGAATGTTGCATGTAGATTTAACTTTGGACAGTTTTTTACTGACAGAACAATTGTTGCTGAACCTTTGGCTGAAGACATGGATGAAGAGATTAAATCAAATATTCTAACCAGACGAAAGGAAATTTTGTCTAAAGTTAAACAAAAAATTGACGATGTGTTAAACCCAAGCAAACCTACTTATGATCCACATGCAACTCCAATTGACATTCTAAATGAAATAGATATTACAGAACCAAACTATAGATGGGCTTTATCAATATCCCCAGATTCTGACCATGAGTTGCACCTGAAACGACCGATAGACAGTTGTTTTATCAACAATTACTTTATTGCTGGGTTAAAAGGCTTTGCTGCAAATGTTGACTTGCAACCAGTGTTTAATCATTACAAGTGTATCACATACGTCTGTTCTTACTTTACAAAGGATGAAACTGAATGTTCTCAAGCCATCATAAATGCAGCAAAAGAGGCTAAAGAAGCCAACTTAAATGTAAGAAATGGCCTAAGAAAAATAGGTGCAGCTTTTCTCTCCACTCGTGAAGTCAGTGCTCAAGAATGCGTTTACAGATGTATGCCTGAACTCTGGTTAAGAAAAATATTCCCGAAAACCCTTTTTGTTAGCACGGATTTTGCTGAAAATCGCGTTAGATTTGCGAAGAAACAACAAGAACTTGATGAGTTAGATGATGATAGTACTGACATTTTTAAGCCTAACATTATTGTCCGTTACAGTGACAGACCGAAAAATATTCCTGTCGTTAATGATATGTGTTTAGCTCTATTTGCTGCTCACTATTTCAAAGATTACAAAAGTGATTTTAACGAAGTATCTGATTCTCAACCCGAAGTGTTAAGCGATGACTTCATCGAATCCCAAAATATCGAAAATCATAACACTGGACTTCCCGATCGAATAAAACTTGTAAACAGTAAAGAGATTATGAAGTGCAGAAAAATTAAAGCTGTCATTCGATATCACACTCCAAACAAAAGAAAAGAGCCTGGAAAATATTTTCACCACCTTCTCATGTTGTATTTTCCGTGGCGTAATGAGCAGGAACTCTTTGGCGAAGACCAGACATACATATCTAAGTTTTATGAGCCAGATGTTCAAGAAGTAGTACAACGCAACAAAGAAATATTTGAACCAGATGGTGATGCAATTAATGAAGCACTAGAAAGTTTACGAAACTTTGATGGCGTACCAACTCACTCCTATGATCCAATAAATGACCAGGAAAATGAAGATTTGCGACAAAGTTTACCTGACGATTCTGATGAAACAGAGTCTTTTAACGAATCGTTGCCACAACATCTTGCATCAAATCCTGACTCATTTCAACCATCTTCTGGAATAAGTTCTTATAATCAACCCTTAGACATCAGTGACGACGATCTACGAAAAACTGTAAGATCATTAAACAACAAACAACGTTATGCATATGACGTAGTTCTTTCCTGGTGTAGAAATAAGATGGCCAACCTAAACACCCTTAAACCTTCTCAAGTAGATCCGATACATGTTTTTGTTACTGGAGGTGGAGGTGCAGGGAAATCACACTTAATTAAAGCTATATATCATACTGTTACAAAAACATTTAGACATGCTCCAATGAATCCTGAATTACCTTCTGTATTGCTAATGACTCCAACTGGTGTAGCTGCCATAAATATCAACGGAACAACCGTAAACACGTACTGCTCTAGCAATTCCAAGAGAATGTGGGAATAATGTACCTAGCAATTCCAAGAGAATGTGGGAATAATGTACCTGCAATGTCTGACCAGAGAAGAACACAAATGAGATTGTCTTTGGCTGAATTGAAACTAATCATAATTGATGAAATATCAATGGTCTCAAACATAGGTCTGTTGCATATTCACCAGAGATTGAAAGAAATATTTGTTACACCTAATAGTAAACTTTTTGCAGGAATCAGTGTACTTGTTTTCGGAGATTTCTTTCAACTACCACCAATTCGAAGCGCAACAACATTTTCAAATTATAAGAATGATACATTCAATCTACACCATCCCTGGCATGTCTTTAAAATGGCAGAACTAACACAGATCATGAGACAAAAAGATGACCTTGCCTTCACTCAGCTATTAAATAGAGTGCACACCGCTTCACATACAGACGATGACATCAGGGTATTCAATCCAGAACAATAACTCCAGCGGATGAAAATTATCCATCGGATGCATTACACATCTTTGCCGAAAATGCACCGGTAGATGAGTACAATATTGATCGCTTACAACAAATTCAATCACCACAGTACGTTTTAGAAGCTTTAGATCAATTCCCACCTCATGTTAGAAAACAGGATATCGATAGAGTGCTGTCTAAAGGAAGATCCGAAACTGGAGGGCTTGACACTAAAATTCTGATCAAAGAAAATGCGAGAGTTATGCTCACAACCAATGTGGATATTAGCGATCGACTAATTAATGGCCAGTTAGGTACAGTAATAAAAGTTTCAGTTGACAATGTTAGTAATAAACCCTCCACAATTTTTGTTAAATTTGATGACAGTAGTGCTGGAGTATCTGCTATACAAAATTCGTCCAGTAGTTTTGCAAGAGAAAACAATCTTGTTCCTATCAAACCTGTATTGGCGAGAATTAAAGTCAGACCAGGAAAACCATCATCTCCTGAAATGCAAAGATTACAATTTCCTGTAACTCTCGCATGGGCATGCACTGTTCATAAAGTACAAGGATTAACTCTGGATAACATTGTCGTCAGTTTTGATTTAAAAAAGCAAAGGTACTTTAACTATGGTCAGGTATATGTAGCACTTAGTCGAGTAACGTCTTTAAATGGCCTGCATATTTTAGGAACACTTGAAAGTAAAAATATTCGAGCTAATCCTAAAGTCCAGGAAGAATACGAGAGATTGCGTGAAACTTCGAGTCTCCACCTGCATATTACAACAGATTTATGTAACATAGAAACTGTCTCAATTTGTCTTTTAAATATTAGATCGTTTAAAAAACACA